GATAAAAACACCATATACACAGTTTGGTTCCATTTTAAGTTGTTTTAAATCAGTATTGCCATTTACAATGAACATGTAAAATACTGGTCTATGTAGTCTGTATACTTAGAAAAAAAGTGTAATCTTCTTAAAGGATCTATTTATTTAAAGGTCCTATATTACGTAAAACTTACTCCTGTGAGCTTTAAGTCATGTTATAATGCTGTTACCTCATCAAAAACACGTCTAGAGTTGTGTTTTGTTTCATTCACATGTTGGAATAATCCTGCAGTATTAGTCTGTCTACATCTCCAAAAGTCAAAATGCTCTGTCCCACCTTGTGATGTCATGAGCTCTTGTTTCTAACTGTGATATACTGTATTTACATTACAATATTTGTTTTTTTACTTATTGTATATATGTTTATGTAATTTATGTTTTCATGCTACTTATTTAGAAGTTTATTACCAATTTTGTATTTATTTTTTTCTCTGTGTTATTGTAATAGTGGGTGGAATCCTGTCTCCCCTTCTGTTTAATATCTATGTTGATGACCTGTCTGTGCAGCTGAATGAATGTAAAACTGGATGTTTTGCTGGTGATTAGCTGTATAACTATTTAACCCTCTCCAGGCAGGCGTTGCAGATTTGCAACAGCTAAATGCCAGTTACCTACTTACTCCAAATCCATATTTTATTAGCTTTTTTTTAACTCAGGAGCCTTGTTTCCCATCCGTGCTGATAAACATGGATGATACAGACTGTGTAAGAATGGCTACACACAAACGACCTGCCAGAAGTGCAAAGTACTTTTGTTGTTTACAAAGGATTAAAATTGTTTCTTGGAGAACCACGTGAAAAAGTGATGTTGTTCTGCCACTGTAAAGCTGTTACTCTGTGCTTTTTGTTTTCATTGTTATGAAAAGTGGTTTACACATAAAGTTAGCATTCATATCATTTTCAGTCTTCAGTGTTAATTTACCACACCAGACCAATGCTGCAAATCTGCAACATCCCAGAACACATTGGATGTGAAGGTCTCTCAAAAAAAAGTCAGGATTGTATATTACTGCCCCATATGATCATTTTCCCCAAATATCAGATTTTTCCTGATACTAAAATTTTATTTGAGCCTGAGAGGGTTAATGTATGCAGATGATCTAGTACTGTTGTGCCCTTACAGTGCAGGTCTGCAGCAGCTTTTAAATATCTGTTCTCAATTTGTCTTTGAATATAATATTAAGGACAATGCTCTGAAAAGTGACATTATGATTGTTAAAACAAAAGAGGACAAAAAGCTATCCTTTCCTGTTTTCTCTCTATGTGGGAGTGCCCTCCAACTCACAGATGAGGTCAAATATCTTGGGCATTATGTCACCAGTGACCTCTCAGATGATAGAGACATGTACAGGCAGCAGTGTGAGCTTTATGGTCAGACCAATATGTTTGTCCGCATGTTCTCCATGTGCTCCAGTGATGTCAAAATTGCACTTTTTAATTGTTTTTGCTTACCCTTGTACACTGCACATCTTTGGCGCAACTACAAGACAAAGAGTTTGCAGAGTTTGACAGTGGCGTATAACGACTCTTTGAGAATATGACTGAAAGTGCCGGGGTTTTGTAGCGTCAGTGAAATGTTTGTAAATTGTGATGTGAGAAACTGTGCTGTCATAATCAGGTGTTGTATTTATTCATTTATGTGTAGAGCAATGATTTTGAGTAATCAAATCACTGAAGCTCTAGTGTGTCCTGTGAGGAGCTCTGTCAGATTCACCTCTGAGCTGTGGAGACACTGGCGCTCTTGTCTGTAAACATTATAACATGCACTGTATTTAACTTTTTATTCTTACTATTTTCTTTTTAATACTATGAACCAGATATCACGTGTTCTTAATAAAGATTGAATTGAATTGAATAATATAATGTGATGTGTGAGCTCTTGTGTCTGAGTCATTTCCCTTGTGGATCAATAAAGTCTAAAACAGATGTGCTCACACTTTTTCATCATGCGAGCTACTTACAAAATCACCAAGTCAAAATGATCTACCTAATCCAAAGCCAAACAAACTGCACTGAAACACTCTGTGCCCCTTTTTTGGACCCTCACCCACAGTTTGAGAACCTCTTCTTTAAGAGAACTTCCTCTGGCACTTTACACAAAACTGTGAAAAAAGTGAAGGAAGTAGGTAAGATTTTTAAACCTGTTTTTTAAAGTTCCAAACTGGAGTTACATTCTTTTCTGGTTTTGCAGTGATATTTACCAGCCTCTGCACGTTTACCAAACCAAACGCACATCGTGACAAACACAGACGCATTTGTGCACTTTTGTTAGACAAACTTCAGCCAAATGTGGCAGTAGGTCTGTTCTGTAGATCCGCTCTATGCTGTAGACCTGCTTTGTGCCAACACTGGAACACAAATTTAGACTGGTTTTTGCTTCACGTTTGGTCTTGTTCTTCTAATCAGCCGCACTGTGGGAGGGGCTTGTGTTCGCTGTACGCAGGAAGGAGCGAGAGCGTGAAAAGGCGAGGGGCGGCGTGCTGACGTGAGGCAGATGGACAGGTAGGATGTTTAGGAAGTTGAACCTGCCCTGTGATGCACGCTGGTACACGAGGGCACACGCTGTTGCAGACGAGCCGTGCATAGGGAGCGTGTGTGTTTGTGATGTGCCCTAGAGTCTCCGCGGGTTTCAAATGAGCGCACAGGCTGCACTGAGACGCCCCACACGCTCCTGCACCCGCTACAAGTTTATTACCAACAGCAGCGGCCGGAATGAAATATGATCGCATTTGTTGAGTGTCAGACCTCGAGTGAGAGACAAGACCGAGTCCAAACGTGAGTCCGAGACAAGACACGACGATCTACCCACACGACCTTGGCGATTGACTGGTAGATCGGGATCGACATATTGAGCACCCCTGGTCTAAAACATGAAGCTGTAGGTTTCAAGGTAACAACTGCCCTCTAATTCCATGGCTGAAATCATCCAAATCATTGTTTCCCAAAGACTGGGTCACAACCCTCAGGTAGGTTGCCAGGTGGGTCGCCTTATCACGATCTGCATGTAGATCTGCAACATACACAACCCAAAACATTCTACATCAGTCTCCAAGAAGAATAGCTGAGATAATGGAGTCAATTAAATATAATCAGTCAGTTAAGAGTTCTGACTATGCACTTGATCTGCTGCTGCGTCTCCTCCTGCACCCGGACTGAACCACTCTATAAAAACACAGACAGGTCCATGTATCTCATTAGAAATGTTCAAATGTTAAGACATGTTTTGTATCATTTCTAATATTTTTGTCATTATTTTATTGACTATTTTGTTCTAGTATTGCTGGTTCAGTTGAATGTTGAAAAGAAAAAGAAATGTTCTACATTTAATGTCCAAAGCGACTTCTGGATCCTTTTATTGCTGCTTCAGTGACTGTTTTTCATTGTTTAAAACTTGAGTAATACTAATTGTTCAGAGACCAGAAGTGGAACCAAGTCGTTGTTTTGCAAGTCTCAAGTAAGTCTCAAGTCTTTGACCTCAAGTCCAAGTCAAGTCCCAAGTCAAATACAGGCAAGTCCAAGTCGAGTCTTGAGTCACTGGCCCATAAGTCCAAGTCAAGTCCAAGTCGTCTGCTTTGAGCCTCAAGTCATTTCAAGTCTTTAAACCAAAGTACCAAATACATCTTAGATTTTTGCAATTTATATGAATTTTAAGATAAATTGTACTTATGAAATCATAGTATGCTCATATATGAGTATTTATAGAGTATATAAAACTTGTAGAAATGCTATTTTTTCCTTTTTAAATGTCTTGCAAAGATCTTAGTGTGAATCATTACAGTCAGAACAGGAAGAATTCAGATTTAAAAGTGCTTCTCAAGTCTGCGGAAGTCACAGGCCTCAAGTCCAAGTCAAGTCCATATCGTCCATACCGTGGCCAAGAGGCCAGACCAGCTTGTCAAAGCCTGATCCTGTCAGATCTCAGAAGCTCAGAGGACTGGTTAGTTCATGGATGGGAAAATCAGGTGCCAGAGGGGGGCACCAGTCACAAAAACTGTTGTTGTGTCCTTAGGCAAGACACTTCACCCACATTGCCTAGTATGAAAGCGGTGTGTGCATGAGTGTTGGTGGTGGTCGTAGGGGCGCAGATTGGCAGCCTCACTTCCATCAGTGTGAGCCAGGGCAGCTGTGGCTACAGTATTAGTTTACCACCACTAGGTGTGGAGAGAATGAATAATGATCTGTAAAGTGCTTTGAGTATCTTGAAAGGCCCTATATAAATGCAATGATGAATGAATGAATGAATGAATGAATTAATTAATTAATTAAGTCCCAAGTCACTGACTGTGACCGTTTTATCAAGTCAAGTCTCAAGTCCTAAAAATAGTGACTCAAGTCTGACCTGAGTCCAAGTCATGACTTACACGTCCCATCTCTGTCAGAGAGACACGATCACTCAGTCAACAATAAATATCCTCATTCATGTTCAATAATGCTCAAATGTCAAATGTCTATTGACTTGAAATAAATCAAATATGGGACCCCAGAAAAATAAACCAGCACTAAACCAAAAGTCAAAATGCTCTGTCCCACCTTGTGATGTCATGAACTCTTGTTTCTAAGTGTGATACACTGTATTTATAATTACAATATTTGTTTTTTGTTTTTTTTACTTACTGTATATACATTTATGTAATTTATGTTTTTATGCTACTTATTTAGAAGTTTATTACCTATTTTAATTATTATTATTATTATTTTTTTCTCTGTGTTATTGTAATATAATGTGATGTGTGAGCTCCAGTGTCCAAGTCATTTCTCTTATGGATCAATAAAGTCTAAAACATGAAGCTGTAGTTTTCAAGTTAACAACTGCCTTCTAATTCTAGGGCTGTATTTCACTCGGACTTGAGGTCAAAGACTTGAGACGTACTTGAGACTCGCAAAACAACGACTTTATCTTATTAGAGTTGTTTACGTAAGTCGTATTTTATTGTGAAAAGGCTCACCGGATGTGGCCTAACCTCGCAGAGATCAAAGGCGCGGCTTGACCCGGTGTCAGATGTCCGGAGCCGCGGTCTCCCGTTTGCAGAGCGGCACTGCGCGTCCTGGACACCCCCGCGGAGCTTCAGCGCGCCACCGGCCGAACACATGACCACGAACACGAGGACGAGGGGTCGCGCTCGGACTAACGCTTCACTTATCTCCCCCAAAAAAGGAACTCCACAACTCCCGGGACAGAGGTTTAGCAGCGGCGAACCGTGTGACTGCCGCGCGCCCGTGGGGACTAGTTTCGCTTCCCCGCTACTTCGGTATGCCGCTTGTTTACCGCGCAGTTTGATGTTGTAATCTACGCAAAACACTGTTAATATTTTTAGAAAGTAGCACAACGTTGCTGCTATTTACTGAACAACCGAAATTTACTCTTTATGTAAAATAGTTTCGCTTCTCTTTTCTTTACGCCGCCTGTTTACGTCCTAGTTTGACGTTCCAAAGTTGATCTGCGCGTCTTTTTTTTAAACGTATGTATTAAATTTAACACTGCATCGCTATTTTTTACATGTCAACCAACACTGAATTTGTTTTGGGTAGTTTATTTTCACATTAAAGCGTTGACGCACACTCGGACGTAGAATGCACCGCACGCGTCTCCGCTGATGCCCCTGCCGCACTATCCCGCCGGACCATGATCGGCTCCCCGGACTTGCTGGCCTTCTCCGGGGCAGAGGGCTTCGCGGAGGGTTCGGAGGAGGACCTGGAGGCTGCGAGTCTGCCCGAGGAGCTGTCTGTCCCGCTGATCGGCCCGGACAACCCCTGGAGCTCCTGCGCACGCTTCAACCGAGACTTCATCCTGGTGGCCGAGTTCTCCGAGCAGGTGTGTAGTGCTTTTGTTTTGGCTTCTGAAGTCCTCTCCACCTGGAAGACAACTGGAGCATAATTTGGCTTACCCCTGGTGTAGCTACCAGAAGTTTGGACACACTGGCATTATGTTTCTTCTTTATGTCCCTGATTATTTCCACTGTAGATTCTCACTGAAGGCATCAAAACTATGAATTTGAATTTATTTGTTTGGAGGATAAGAAGTTTGACTAGCACTGGTATGATTTTTTCTTTATGTCTTCTATGTCTTCTGATCGCCCGGACAACCCTGGAGCTCCTCCACGCTTTCAACCGAGATCATCCTGTTCTCGATGTAGTGCTTTGTTTTGGCTTCTGAAGTCCTTCCACCTGAAGACAACTGGAGCATAATTTGGCTTACCCCTGGTGTAGCTACCAGAAGTTTGGACACACTGGCATTATGTTTCTTCTTTATGTCCCTGATTATTTCCACTGTAGATTCTCACTGAAGGCATCAAAACTATGAATTTGAATTTATTTGTTTGGAGGATAAGTCCCTTGAGATGTCTCGGCATCTCGTTTTCGAGGGGGTCATCACAGCTACAACAACGAAAGACAGATACAGTAGGACAGACAGTAGGATACATAAATTCAAATAAACATCAGAAAAACAAAATCAACACAACCACAAACACACACACACTCACACTTGACTCTTTGACACATAATAAATCAAATTTGAGCCAAAAACTAAAACAGAGTTCAAAGATAATCACAAAATACATCAAGATGAACAACAAAATTCAACAAAATGATCAAAACATTTACACAAGTTTTATAAATATTCAACCAGAGCATTTTTAAATGAAGAGACAGAAGTTAATGCAAGAATCGATGAGGGAAGATGGAGATGAAGAATGAGTGTTTTCCTATTTGTTTTTTGACTCTTGGGACAACAAAAAAATATCCGATCTGCATGACGTAAACTGTAAGAGGATCTGAATGGAATTAAATACTGTTTGAGATATTCAGGAGAACTGAGATGAAGCATTTAAAGAGAAATAATAAGCAGTGAAGTTGACGTCGGGAGGACAGAGTGAGCAGGACAGTTGGAGGAACATCACACAGTGGTGAGTTCTGAAGGGACAGAGGAGAATAAACACTGTTCTAGATCACACTGAGTGGTTGGAGGATGGAAGCTGTAGTATAATAATAATAATAATAATGTAGTATTGATAAATGATATTACACAGTTATCTAAAATGTTTATGATGATTATTTCCATTGTAGATTCTCACTGAAGGCATCAAATCTATGAATGACACATATAGTAACATAATAAACAAAACATAAACTCAAAATAACTCAAAGCTTGTTTTAGATCAGGGGTGTCAAACTCATTTTGGTCCGGGGGCCGTATCCAACCTACTTTGATCCCAAAGTGTCCGGATCAGAAAACTCATGTCATAATAAACCCCAAAAATAACAATAAGTTCAAATATTTGTGCAGAGAAACACAAATCTATTACAGAAATCTTTTTTAATTGATGAACTCTTTCTTTTACAAAATACTATAATATTATGAACAACCTGAAACTTTAAGAAAAATACAATTTCAACACAATGTTTTAACATGAACTTGTAAACAGGCAAAGTACATTTTTCTTGGAAAATCCTGCACTCGGCTCCACTTTTCTCATTTGTGACATTTTTCTGATGAGGGTGTCACGGTCAACAGTCAAAACGATCGTCCTTTAAGAGCGTTTGGAAAGAGACAAGTCTTCATTTGTGCTGCTCTGGTGGGAGGGGCCACGTACAGAGACGCTGGAGATGCTGCTATGATAAACATCACAGAAAATTACCAATATTTTAATAGAAAATATAATTAAAATATTTTAGTAGAAAATCAGCTGAGGGCCAGATTAAAGCTCTTGGAGGGCCGGATCTGGCCCCTGGGCCGTATGTTTGACACCCCTGTTCTAGAATAAAGGTCCCAAATCACTCAAAATTGACTCTAGTGATGTTAAACTGTTGTTACCTCCTCAAAAACTCCTGGAGTTGTGTTTTGTTTTCTTCACATATGCTGGTCTGTTTACATCTCTGAAACTCAAATGCTCTGCTCCAACACATTAACAAGTCTGAAAACAAAATAACAATTAAAATACACATTAACATCTTGAAAACAAATTCGAAGTTTCATAAAACAAATTTACAAAACACGAAACATTTGTACAAGCACTGAGACAAATTTACATGTGGAAAAAATACAAACACAAACCCTCGAAACAAATGAACAAAGTTGGAATGTCAAAATGACCATAACATTAGTTTTGCTCAGGCCTTTATTTTTCCGTCTTTCCTTCCCTTTATAGTTGTGGATAAATTCTTCCTGGTTCTTCATGTTTATCCTTTGTGGACCTTGTTGGAAAATGATTTGGTGATGGGGCAGATTTATGAAGCTGCTGGAAAATATGTGAGACATTTTCACAGATATTTTGGAACAGAAAAGCTGGAGGTTATATTAACTTATATTAATATCGCTGCACTTCTGGTGTGAGGTAGTATTTTGACCCCCATAGTATATTGACCCCGGGGTCAACATACCACTATAGTAAAGTGACCCCCCTATAGGATTTTGACTCCTCTTACTTTTTTCTTTAGTATGTTACTTATCTGCTCATTATTTCTCATGTCATTTACTTTTATTATATATTGCTACATGTTCACTTTCTTTTAAGGTATTTTAAGGAATGTTTTGATGGAGAACGACTTGGTATTTTGTGTAAATGTAACGTATTGTTAAAATTGCATATACATAACAATCTTGTAACTTTTTATATTGTATTTTACATTGTTATGGTTTTTAGTTTGCTATGTTCAGATAATCCTTAATCATAATGTCAGTTTAGGCAATGCTTTGTAAAGATAATGACCTTGAATTTAGTCATGTTGTGTTATTAGATTTTCTCATTTCCTCTATTTAACTACTCAATTGATCAGCCCTGTCTATTTTAACAAGATCCCAAATCATTATACATCACCTTGATTACTATTACTATACACACTAGCAAATAAATGAAATGTTTATACACACTGATTAACACAATGTCTAATAATGCAGACCCTGTCCTGCTTAGTTTCTGAGATCTGACATGATCAGGCTTTGACAAACGGGTATGGCCACAACATAACAGTTCCCTCAAAGATGACACTGGATTGTATGATCCTTACTGTATATTTTTGGTAATTTGTAATATTAATCACCACATGATTATTATGCAGTGATGCAGTCGCTGTATCAGACTGTTGTGGTGAAGAGGGAGCTGAGCTGAAAGGCAAAGCTCTCGATTGACCTGTAAATCTATGTTCCTCCTCTCACCTAAGATCATGAGCTCTGGGTAATGACGAGAAAGGACGAGATCGCAGATACAAGCGCTCGAAATGAGTTGAGAGGGTGGCTGGGTGCTCCCTTAGAGATAGAGTGAGAAGTTCAGTCACACAGGAGGAGCTCGGAGTAGAGCCACTGCTCCTCCACGTCAAGAGGAGCAGCTGAGGTGGCTCGGGCATCTGCTTTGGATGCCTCTTGGGAGCCTCCTTCAGGAGGTGTTCTGGTCACGTCCCACTGGAAGGAGGCCCCCGGGGAAGACCCAGGACACTCTGGAGGGACTCTGTCTCTCAGCTGGCTTGGGAACACATTGGGGTCCCCCGGAGGAGCTGGAGGAAGTGTCCGGGGTGAAGGAATTCTAGGAGTCCCTGCTTGGACTGCTGCCCCTGTGACCCGGGCCCGGAAGAAAATGGATGGATGGAGGAATGTAATATTAATTTAAAACAAATTCACAATACAAACAGGTCCACTAATTTCTGTTTAAAAATAGATAAATGAGAAGTTTAAATCACTTCAAGAAACGTAAGTAAAACAGCAGTGGGCGGGGATAGGTGGTAAGTGAAAACAGACATGTTTTGAGCTCTCAAGATTTGAATACCGATCCCAGAGAAATGTAATGAAACCAAAAGATGATGATAGATATTTTTAATGGAACATTTATGGTTAAAAGCTCAAAAAGTGTGTGGATTGAGAGAAGAAATTTAGAAAGAAACAGCACTTCATTTATAAAACTATTTTTTGTTTTTGTTGTTTCTTTAAATGGTAAAGGTTTACCTTTAATAAGAATAAAGATGAAGTAAAGGCGGCACACTCCTCAGGTATTTGATGAAAGACACTTTACAAATCCTTAACTAAGAAACAATGTCACTGTCACTTTGTACTGTTGTAAAATTGCGCAATCATGTGTCAGAGCGTTTCCATCATGAGCATGCCCATTTCAAGAGGAACAAGGCACAGAAACGGCCTATTCATTGACACGCAGGCCTATCCATCTGATCAGTGTTGGAGAGTAACAGATTACATGTACTGGAGTTACGTAATTAGTACAAATTATGGTATTACGGTATTTTCATGTTTTCACATTTTGGGCTATTCCCTTTTTTTTTTTTTTGTTTTGTTTGGAAATTCCACTCATTGTCGGACACTAAACCAGGTCTAAAACCAGGTCTAAAACCAGGTCTAAAACCAGGTCTAAAACCAGGTCCAAAACCAGGTCCAAAACCAGGTCTAAACCAGGTCTAAAACCAGGTCTAAAACCAGGTCTAAACCAGGTCTAAACCAGGTCTAAACCAGGTCTAAACCAGGTCTAAAACCAAGTCTAAAACCAGGACTAAAACCAGGTTTAAACCAGGACTAAAACCAAGTCTAAAACCAGGTCTAAACCAGGTCTAAAGCAGGACTACACCAGGTCTAAACGAGGACTAAACCCGGTCTAAACCAGGACTAATCCAGGACTAAATCAGGTCTAAACCAGGTCTAAAACAGGATTTAACAGGACTAACTCATGCTGCATGGACCATGTTTTATCCTCTTCTATCAATAATATTTTTAATACCGTTAAGGAACGTCTGGGATTTTTCATTGTCTTTTAGCAGAAAAAACATCTTATGTGAAGATTTCCTCGTCTTTGCTTCTCTACAGCAAATCAAGTAATCCAAAGTATTCAGATTACGTTACTCACTTTAAGTAATTTAATGGATTACATTAGAAACTACATTTTGGGGTATTTAATCTGTAATCTGTAGGGGAATACATTTTAAAAGTAACCTACCCAACACTGCATCTGATACAGCTTAACACAATAAGATCTGAAAAATGAATGAATATATGTGTGGAATCTTTAGTCGCTGATGGTAAGATAATGTCATCAGGAAGGACAAGGTCACTGTAAAGACTACACATGTCTCCATTTGCTTTTCTCATGGAGATATTTTGCTTTGGTTAGTTGGCCTTTCACAATAATTATACTGACTTATCATTTCTTTCCACTATTGGGAAATTTGTTGTTAATTTTTGGCTCTACAAAAAGATTTGAGCTCTAGAAGGTTGAATGAATAACTTCTCTGACTCATTACAGATGCAAACGAAGCACTAAAGTGTTTCATTCTGCTGGTTATTTGTTGCAGCTCATGATTTTTGAACAACATTGTACATTTACAATAGTTTTTGTGGTTTAATCTGGGTTATTATGTCAGTTGCATAAATTAGTTTCAGTATTATTGTTTATTGTCTATATTTCGCATTTCAGAATTTATCGTGACAGACCTCCTGCTCAGAATGTTCCACTGTATGGCATTAAACTTATTTATACTGCATTATTCAATTAAGGTGCTGGGCAGAGCAATTGCTTCTCCCTGGTGATACTGTAGACACACAGTACACCATTAAACTGAATCTATGTAGGACAGTGTTACTCAGACTGTGGTGCATGGACAGCTCTTCAGTTTGTGGGTTTGCCTCATTTACATTTAATTTTATCCACTTTTTTTCCTCCTTTAGATCATTTCTTGTTTAGAACTGCAGTGGAAATGATGTAGTCCACTTTTAGACCTGGTTTAGTCCAAGATTAAACCTAGTTTAGTTCTGTTATAGACCTGGTTTAGATCTAGTGGGGTTTGGAAAGCCAAGTCAAAAAAAGTTTGTAAAGAAAATGGAGAAGCTGGACAACATCAGTCATGCGTTGGAATTTTCATATCACATTTTGCCTAATAAAATAATCATTAGAGGCAGCAAAACATCATGTTTTCAATGAACATATTTGAGATGAAATGGAAGACCTCGTGAAAACATGAAGCAGATGTGTGCTTCCTTGTTTTAAACTTTCACACTCCAGTTCCTCTTTGTGGAGAGTGTGACTGAAACTTTTCTGGAGAAATGTTCCTGGAGATGTTGCTTAGACACATTTAATGTTGTACAGTGGAACATTCTATCTCCATGGAGATGGCAGGAGATGTCACCAGGTCAAGTTACAGGGCAGATCTGTGGAGAGTTGAGTCCAGTCACAGTTTCTCAAAAATACTTTTGAGTTATAAAAAATAGGATTTAAAATAAATTAAATCCAGGATTAAATAAGGAATCGGACCTCTCACCTTATCTGTAACATCTGGATTATCTGTTTTCATATTTGCTGTTTCTGCCATTGTCTATTTGATATTTACTTGTGTATAATTTTACTTGTCCTGCTGGATTTTCTGTATATGAACATGCACCACTGTCCTCAGGCCAGAGGTCACAGGTGATCTGTCTCCAGATTGGTACATGCTCATACAGATAATGTGATGCACTTTGTCCCTTATAATGTACGTATGTACATTATGTGTCACATGACAGTGTGGTCATGACGGTGTGGTCATGTGACTCGTACATTTAAATACCATCCTTACACACTAGTCAATTTTATGTGCCCTGATGAAGATACAAGTCGAAACGTGTTGGTGTTTGAAATAAAATAAAATAAAATAATAGCAAAGCACATGGGGGTGCCTCAGATCTCCTCTTTCATCCTGTAATAAAATATGTATTTGAATACAATATTTATAATAATACACAGTATAATGCCATACTGAGGAACATTCCAGGCAATGGCACTTTCATGGTGACAAGCAGATAGTAGGCCCCCCACCACAAAACAGTGTTATATAAATGAAGAGCTGGTGCTTCTGTCCTTGTGAGAGAGTTTGAACCATAATATCCAGCCACTTTGCATGTTTTGTGTTTTGGGTCCAAGATTACACAAAACTGACTCTTGTGATCTGTAAGTCATGTGATGATGATGTTCTCTCCTCAAAAAACAGATCTGGAGTTGTGTTTTGTGTTATTCACAGTAACTTTTTATTATTAGTCTGTCTACATCTCCAAATCTCCAAATGCTCTGTTCCACCTTGTGATGTCATGAAGTGGTAGTAAGAGCTTTTATCATTAGATTAGCTGAGTTTTCAGGGCTAAAATGATCCAAATGAGTCTAGTGAATGTGTATAGAGTTTTAAAACACAGTGGAGCACTTCCTGTATTACCACATGACATCACAAGGTGGAACAGAGTATTTTCATTTTGAGAGAAGAACTCTGTGTGTTAAACATGTGTGAATGAAACAAAAACTCCAGGTGTGTTTGTGATGAGGAAACATTACAACAGACATCAGAAAGAAGCTTAAGGTGGACCCTTCAATGAATTCAATGGAAGTATTCTATTTAAAGATGGCATAAGAAAATGTTCCATGGAGTCTCTTAATCCTCATTCCCAGGTTGGCCCGTCTCCTGTGCTCACCATCCCGGACGACCCCAGCGTCATGGGCTCTTTTGACCTGAACCACTTCTCTGTGCGCATCATGTCCGTGGACTACCAAGCGTCCGGCCCCGCTCCGGCCCTGCCCTCGGGTCCCGGCCCCAGGCTAAACTTCAGCGAGGACTCCCGCGTGGTGCTGGGGGACTCGGCCGAGGACGCCTACGCCTACGTCCACCACGTGACCCTGCTGGACCTGGAGGCGCGGGGGATGGTGAGGCCCTTCTGCATGGCCTATGTGTGCTCGGACCAGTCCAAGCTCATGGACAACTTCTCCGAGCTGTCCAGCGCCTTCTCCAGGGCCTCGGACAGTCTGAAGACGGGCAACAGACAGGCCTTCTCCATGGAGCTGCAAAGGAAACTCCAGGACCTCGAGTAAGTACAGCTCAAAGTGGAACTTAAAGGAACAGTTCAGAATTTTGGACATATTTCCTAGTGAGCCAGAGTGTTGGAGACGTGTGGAGACACTTTTTAAAATATTCCATCCAGTGCTTGTATTTGCAGAGGTCGCTGGTGCTAGGCTAGTGCATGTCAATGGCCATAGTTAGCCTAAGACTAAAAACAGTCTTACCCACTCCACAAAACACCCGAAGCAAATCTATTGTTACACCACACTGTCCATGTGAATGTCTGTGTTGATAGAATAATTTTAGAAGTAAAACCAAACTTACATTTGAAGGATTTATGTGTGAGCAGCAGCAGTGAGTTGTACTTCCTGATAGAAAGCTCGGCAGCGGCGGACTGATATAGGAGAAAATAGTCCCTCAGCATGTGACAATTCATGCGATACAAGATTAGTTTTATTTAAACATTATTCTAATGAGGCTTTATGTCCAAAATTCTGATCTGTCCCTTTAAAGGTCCTATAATTACAGAAAACTGACTCTTGTGAGCTTTAAGTCATGATAGAATGTTGTTATTTTGTTTTGTTTTCTTCACACATATTTGAGTAATCCTGCATTTTGGGCTCTGTTCACACTTACCGGAACACATTTGAAAACATGTGGATGACGACTTCAGGTGTAGTTACCGATACTGGAAGATAGACTGTATGAAGAATATTTATTTATACAGTCTATGTACTGGGCATGTGATAAAAGCGTAGATTCAGCAGCAGAAATCATCACAATGTGCCAAAGCTTTCCATATTGATATCATATCGCCAAAGTTCTCACTATAATATCGTGGACCATCACAATATATCAAATTACAAGTCTCTTTGCTTAAATGAAGAGTTCTGGGCAGCAATTGTTAAAAAAAGACAGAGAACTACATAGACCATGATCCTTTGCTCCATTTCAGTGTAGACAAGAAGAAATAACAGTTCTAAGCACTTTTAAGTCTTAGTTCTTTGGATTAAGTCTTGTCAAGGACATTTTAAGAGGAAAAAGTTGCATTTTAACAGTTTTGTTCGTCTCCACAAAATATCGCAATAAATATCGTACCGTGAGATGTATATCGTGAAAATATCATACCGAGAGATTTGGATATTGTTACACCCATAAGAACTACATATTCCATGATTCATTTCAGCGCAGACAACATGAAGTTATGTTTTTTTGGGGGGGATTATGACGGAAATAATTCACACCAAAATCTTGTCAAGGTATTTTAAAAGCAAAAAACTGTCCCATCTACAATTATATCACAATAAATCATATCGTGAGATGCATATTGTGATAATATCATTACATCCTTAAAAATATATACATATACATAATGTCAGACAAATTATTATAATATGTATGTTAAGAGGCAAAAGGAAAGGGAAAAAAAAGAATACAGTGACATATAGATGAAATAATCCCGGCCATTTTCTCAGTTTTTGTCCTCAGATTTTGTCAGAGTTACTATCGCCGACAGAACCCAAAAGAAGTCGTCATCTGCTGCATGTTTCCAAACATCTTCCACTTTTGTGATGTAAACTTGAATAGAGCCCATTATCCCTTCTACATCTCCAAAGCTCAAATTCCACCTTGTGATGTCATGAAGCTGTACTTTTCAAGTTAACAGTTACCTTTTTAACTTTTGTTCAGCTGCAAAGTTGAAATGATCCAAATGTTTCTTGTGGAAGTGTGTGGAGTTTAGAAACACTGTGAGGCACTTCCTGTATTACCACATGACATCACAAGAGTGTTTTCAGTTTGAAAGAAGAACTAAATCTGCAGGGATTGTATGTTAAACATGTGAATGAAACAAAACACAACTCGAGGTCTGTTTGTGATGAGGAAACAACATTAGAACAGATCAGAAAATGGTATAATATGAGCTCTTTAACACTGAATCTAACCTTTTTTTGCTCCTAAACTGTATGTGGTGTTTTAATAATAACATTCTCTACTGTTTCTAGTCATTGCAAACTAGCTCTATTTGCAGCCTTGTGTTCAAAAACAGTGAAAACAAAACTCGTGTGCTGCCTCTTGTGGCCGCTGCTGCTTCAAGTACTATGTGACATCACACAGGACAGCACTGACTACAGCCAGGTGTTTGTGTGAATACCCAGTCACACTGTTCTGGGCTGTCGCAGTTAGGGAATTTCTCCTGCGGTGTGGTATTGCGGCTCAACATGATATCGCACCCCCTCCCCCACCCCCCATCCCCCGGAGTTATAATATTTCCTGCTGCTGTGACAACTCTTTCCAGTGATGAGCTTGTTGCACATGCACATGTACCTTGGTTGTCGTGTCAATATAGGGTGTGTAGCGTGGAAGAAGTAACAACTCTGGAGCAGAGTTTTACAGCTCAAAAATCCCCAGAGAAAAGTGCATTACAGTCATCTAAACAAGAGGAGATAAAAGTGGGACCTGTTCAAATGATTTAAAAGATAAAAACTGTTTAATTTAGATCAAAGCCGCAACTGAAATAAGCCAGATTTTACAACAGCATTCACTTGTTTGCCATCACTGTCAGTAGTGACGCTGGGGTTGGTGACAGACGGTTTCAGCTGCTGTTTCAGTGGCCCAGGTCAGTGAGGGGTCAGCATTGCCAAACACAATGACCTCAGTTTTGACCTCATCAAGACTTAAAACGTTGTGAGCCAACCAATCCTTGACCTCACTAAGACACAGAAGAAGAGATGTCTTGGGCAGAGGCAAGTTTTTTAAGTGGCAGGTAAATTTGGCGGTGATCTGTGTAGAAGTGATATTGAATGCCATGTTTTTTAAAGATTTTACTCAGTGGGAGGAGGTGAACAGGAAAAGAACAGGCGCAAGAATTGAACCCTGGATAACTCCACAGTTAAAGGGGCAGTGGACGAAATGGAGTCCCCCAGTCTGACAGAGCAGAGCAGGGAGGTCCCCCTAACAACAACAGTTTTAAAAACTATTTAAAAGAGCTGCACGGTCAGCTGTATCAAAAGCAGCCATCAAGTTTAAAAGCATTAAAATGACAGAATCACCAGAATCAGTCACAAAAAACAGGTCATTAAAAACCTTTAAAAGTGCAGACTCAGTACTGTGTAAAGTAGGGGTGGCACAGTACACAAAAGTCACAGTTCGGTACATACTTCGGTTCAGACTAGGGGTGGGCAATATCTCGATATTTTTAAAATATTGAGATTTTTAAAAAACTCGATATGAATTCTGACATATCGATATAATGCTTATATTAAATTTTTATTTCGCCGCTTCGCTTGTTTGTCTTCTCTGTCGTCGCCCGCGTGCCCCCGCCTCCCTGATTTTGTTCACTCGTGTCTCATTCACTCCTCACTATCGCCGTGAACGCCGAAAGTTGGTGCCAGTGAAAAGCTTCAAGCACCACGAACCTTTTCCACCATTTACAGACAAAACCATCAGCAGCACATCCTCATATTCCACCGAGTCACGTCCTTTAGTCCAAAAGAAGTTGAACCGCAAGAGCGGCACGTGGAGTGCGTTGTTTATGCAAATTAGCCATGCTCTTTTTAAGTTTAGTTTCTGTAAAACGTAAACAAGTCTGCGCAAAGCTGCAAAAAAATAAAAAATAAAAAATTAACACTATAATCTCAAACGGGCTGATGTGGCTCTTGAGTCGTTATGCTCTATATCTTGTAAAGTTTAGTAATGTAAATTCTATTTATGCAGAAGATTTTAATTAATAATCTGTTGCAGTGTCACTTGTACAAAAGTGTTTGGAAACGTTGGGTTTGATCTGCAGTGGATTGTGGGAAACCTCAGAGCTCCTTATAGGAACATTAATCTATTGAAATAAGGAACATCCTGAGCTTCTTCTGCTAAAGGAGCTCATGGTTATGGTTTGGATAACAGAGTTAATGCAAAGATGAGCTTGTGTTGAGTTGTTTTATTTATGAATGAAACAAAGGAAATATGTTTTATTTATTTTATTTAACAGTTAAATTATTATTTATGTAATTAGGGTTTTTTGTAATCTTAAATGTTCCTATATGAACTGCTGACCTCTTACACTTTTTAAAGTGTTTAATTTTTAAAAAAAGGACCTTGTGGAATTTGGCAGATTTGTTTTTGCAGTTTTCCGTTTTAAGGGGTTATTTTTTCCTGTACAGATATCGACATATATATCGTATATCGAGATATAGCAAAATATATCGAGATATATTTTTTGATCCATATCGCCCAGCCCTAGTTCAGACCCTACGGTTGGGTACATTTTCAGTACAGTGCAGGGTGAAAAAAAAAAAAACATAACCAAAAAGGCTATCCTTAAAGGCTGTTTTTATTGTTCAGATCTGAGGTACCTGCAACATCCTGAAACAATTGAAACAATAAGTGAACAAGCACCACATAGAAGACCAGCTCTACTGGTAGGTGCATCAGTGCAGTTTTGCCAAATGGCCTCTTTGGTAGCTTTACTTTTCTCAGCAAGGTGACTGCTAGTGTGCTGCTCATTTAAGGGGTGCATTTGTAGGACTACCCTTCTCATCTCCCACGCAGAGCTGATAAAATGCGCTGTTACTGTAAGGAAGCTTTTGGTAGCTCGAGAACTCCACGAATCCGTTGTGAGAGCGATTGAATGTGCAGCTGACAACTCCTGCTCCACTGCCTGTCTGGTTCTGTTGTAAATGCCGGGGACTACAGTTTGTTTCACGTGACTGCGGGACGGCACGCTGTAGCCAGGTTTGAGCACATGTAATAAATATTTGAAGCCTTCCTCTTCTACAACGGAGTAGAAGGATGCAATATAAATCCCAATTGCTTCAGTAATTGTTTTACTCTACTAGTGTGATGCAGGTCTTCTAACTCCTGTGTGCCGCCACTCACCATTCTCAAAATTAGCTCACTCATAACCAGAGAGCCTCAAAACAAACTACCATGCAGAGGTTGTATTGGAAGGCGGAGTTCGAAAAGCTAGACCAAAGTTTTCAGATGCAAATGCGTCCTGAAGGAACTCTCACGCGACACAACAGTTCCGCGTTTGTTTCGGTATCTCAGTATCTTCTTTAATCAAACTTTATTTTGTACCGTGTATTCTACGTGAAAATGCTCGTACCGAACCGTAACCCCTGTACCGTGACGGTTCAATATGAATACACATACCGTGCCACCCCTAGTGTAAAGCCTTATAGCCTGAGTGGAAGAAAAAATGCCACGTGCTTGTAGAAATGACTGGAGCTGCAGGAGGAAACACTTCTCCAGGATCTCAGCCATAAAAGGGAGTTTAGATGTAGGCCTACACTGCCCTACTAAAGAGCAAAAGAGCTTAACTCACCAGAGTGTGAAACTGAGAGAAATGACTTCTGTTTTGTCCAAAATTTGACTCATTGCTGTAATGAAGAAATATTTGTATGTGAAAAATATTGAGCTCAAAATTGACCTTTGACCTTTTGTTTGTCAGTTCCTGTTCTCTGCCTTTGTATCATGAGACAAAAATAAGGAGTAAAGGTAAAAAGGCAAAAGGGGGAAACTGACATGATCATTATTTACTTAATTTTGCCCAGACTTCCATCCGTTATAAAAACACATCACCAAGCTCCAGTCATGTGTTTGTTTGAAATGATCTAGAAGAGTTTTGGATTTCCTGTTTAGTGCTGATCAGGATCGTGCGGAGACACTTACACACTTAGACACGTGACTTAGTATAGTGTGTACAGTATGAATAAATACATGAAATACTTTCACATTAAAGATCATTGAAGTAAAATTTCATATCTATTTACTGTTCAGGGCCGCAACAAAAAGAAGTAGGCAAGAGGTTGGATTTTTACAATAAAATATATTTATGGACTAAATCACAAACAAAACATACAGTTTCTGCCTTTTGTAGCAGCAGTAGCTCAGTTGATAGAGCATTTGCCCACTGATCTGAAGGTTTGTGATTCCAGTGGTGTGATTCCAGTGATTCCCTGTGATGCCCACAGATGAATGCTGTCATTGTGTCCTTGGGCAAGACACTTAGCCCACCTTGCCCACAGTGTCTGTGTACACTGGTGTGTGAATGTGTGTGTGAATGGGTGAGTGGTTCCTTGTGGTAAAGCACTTTGAGTGCCTTGAAGGTGGAAAAGCACTATAGATACATTTACCATTTTGTGTTTGCACGAAAACGTATTTTTGGCTCATAAAACAAATATTCAGTATTTTTCATGATATTTATTCACATGATAAAGGAGGTCTCAAAATCAAACAAAACGAGCACAATCAGAAATATCAACCTGGTCCATGAGGCGTCGGTGGGTCAGTTCATCAGCACAAACAGTTTATGAGGAGTCCAGCCCATATCACATGATCATTATATCCACAATGTAATGTGTGTATGTGTACAGGCCCATGAACATTTGTGTGATATTGGTCACACATAACAATGTCTGTGTTTACTAGTGTGGAACCAAAATGTCATTTTTCATGAGTTGTGTGTATGTTAGTTGTGTGACTGTAGATCAGTGTGTTGTGTATCACCAGAAAAACAAGAAATGGAAATTATTTTTGTTCCAATTAGAATTTTAACGGCTACACTGAAAGAGAAAGGAACTGTTCTAATAATTTGTGATTTTCTAAAAAAACTGAATATTTTACTATACAAATGCATAGAATTATAAATAAATAATATTTTTTCTGAGATTTTGAGACACTCCTGTTGTTCGAGCTCCATCCTTGGCAGAGTTATGACCAAAAACACATATTTGACCTTCAGGTGACCTTGACCTTTTCAACCTGTAACATCCAGTGTGCCCCGGTTATGTGTGTGCCAACTTGTGTGATGATTGGGTGAATATTTTACCCCGCAGATGGTTCAGAAATTGCCAAAATTGCCAAAATTACCGATCCTTTATAATGGCGTGACCCCGTGTGACCTCAAATGACCTCGGATCAAATTTGGTGACAGTCGGTCCATAAATGGCAGAAATATCACTGGTGGACAGACACACACACAGACACACACACACACAGACAGACACAGACATACAGACACAGACACAGACATACACACTAGAGATGCGCGGATTGCGGTTACAACCGCGGTATCCGCGGTTAATCCGCGGGTCGGGCAGATGACGTGACGAAAAATTATATTTTAATTAAATTCTGGCGGGTGGCGGTTTAACTACTAAAAAAAAATGTCCTTAATTAGCCCATTTGACCTCGTTTTTATGTTCTGAAGGTTCAGGTTGTGTCGGGTTATTGATGCCTAAGGTTTACGAGGCACATATTATATGCAGTTTATTTTATTATTTCTAATTTATTTCAGCTGTTTGCCAACACATAAGTGGCTATAGGGCCATATTTATTTAGTTATGCATTTTTTTTTAGTTTCAATATCAGATATATTTTAAAACACGCAGACGTTATAGAGTAGACTTCCACTCGGGGGATTTAAATCTTAAAGAAAGACCGATGGAGTGAGGCTATGACTTTGAAATAACATCGGGCGATGGCAGAATGTTCAGAATGTAACAACATCCAACACGAAGGCAAGAAGGTTCAAAAACAGCCTAGTCGGAAAACGTTGTCAGTTAATTAGCTGCGCAAGAAAACCAGGTAAGTTTGGGGTTGTTACGGACAATTAAGAATGTGAACATACACGCTGAGCCAATTTTGGAATGAATGAGCTATAGAGTTTGCATTTTTATCGAGGCTCCTTAGTTTGTTTGCTGTATGATTGTTCTAAAATCTAAAATCAATCGGCGGATGGCGGGCGGGTGCGGTTTTGAAAACCTTCGGTGCAAAATGGACAGCGGGCGGATGAAAAAATAGCCCATCCGCGCATCTCTAATACACACACACACAGACACAGACATACACACAGACACAGACACACACAGACAGACACAGACAGACACACACAGACACAGACAGACACAGACATACAGACACAGACATACACACAGACAGACACAGACATAGACACAGACACAGACATGACACACACACACACACAGACATAGACACAGACATACACACAGACACACACACACACACAGACATAGACACAGACACACAGACATACACACAGACATAACACACACACACACACAGACATACACAGACATACACACAGAACACACACAGAAACACAGACACACACACACACAATACACAGGACAGTCAAACCTTAGACATACACACACTCAAGACAGACACAACATGGTTAGGGACCAGGTTACAAAACACAAACATGTTTTTTAAGTTTTCAACAGGGGTTTAAAAAGAGCTTCTTTACAAAACAAAGGCACAACACCAGACCCTCCATTGGAAAAGTTACACAATGCACCCTTAAAAAAAGTTCTAGTAAATAAATAAGTACAAAAATACATAACCCTCTGCCCTCGCAGGTTCACAGCGTCTCTCTGAAGCAGGAGGTGGCGCTGTCCCCGGGCCCCGCGGGGAACCATCCCACCGGGGAACCCACGGAGCTGGAGGCCGTGGAGCTGTCCATCCACACCCACCGCGAGCTCCTCCGCCAGGTCACCTCCTACCCCAACAGGAAGCTCAAGCACCCCGACTTCCTGGACCCCTGCCGACGACCCCGCGACCTCCTCCCCGGACCCTGACCCCCGACCTCTGACTCGCCCTCCGCCGCGTCCAGACCCTCCCGGAAGCAGCCCACCCCTACGCGTCCACAGCAGCAGCTCAAGACCCTCCCGGAGCTGAACTTCCTGGAGCTGAGCGGCTGGCGGACACGGAGACGAGGCTGCGCGGGGACCGGGGCGCGCTCAGGACCTCGTCTGTCATTGGCTCGCTCTCCAGGGGACTGGCGCTCACCCACTTCCTGTTTGAGCTGTGGGTGAGCGAGGACGCGGAGGACGACGAGGAGGAGGGGGAGGAGAAGAGCAATGCCACAGGTGGGTGGAGAAAATGGAACGGTTTCATTTTTGATGGATCCGTAAGCGGAAATTGTTGTTGCATCCTTAGGCAAGACTAGTGATGGGCGAATGGAATGAAGCATTGACACCTCAGTCGCAATATTGTCTCTAATGGTGGGACGTGTCTGAGGTCTTGGAGAAACACTGACCTCTAGTGGACAAATTTAACCACTGGCCGAAGGTGTCTCAGCATCGATGAAGTATTGTTAGTGTAAAACAATACTTGTGTGCAGAACGACACCGTACCGAACAACAACAATAATAATGATGATTTAAAATAATATGTAAAGAGCAACATAAATAACATGCTGTAAATAAGAAAATAGGTGTTACCTTGTTAGGTGGAATTAGATCAAAGTGATCCCAAACCATGGATCGCTTTTTTCCACTTGGGTCCGATCAAGTGGTAACGGAGGGAAACAGGGGCAGATTTTTGACATTCAAATGTCTCTTCTTCAGAAACTCGAGGGACTATTGAAATAAGTAAAGTATCAGAATGTAGGAAAGAGTTAACACTCCAACAGGGTAAAGTTAAACCTGTGATATTCTTTCAAGTTTGTTGACAAAAAATTTAAAAACTCATGTCGGTAACGTAGAGAATGAAATATGCAGCACTTTTTGGGCAATAAATCCAAACAGTGATAACTCTTGGTTCTCACTTACATATCCTTAACAAACTGGTTTGAATATTTGCTTCATATAGTTTTCTACCATATGGTACAAGATTAGGTTGAAAAACCTCTTACTTTATGACTCATGAAATTTTTTATTAAGAAAGGTCACGGTAACGGAGGGAAAATTGTGCAAGCAAGTAGAAGGTGCATGATTTTACATAATTTGTCGCTTTTCTCTTCTGAATACTTTAATATTACTTCAAAATGAAAGGAAACTATTTCTATAAAATATGTCAGTCCTTCCAAGCTAATTTTTATCATTTTAAATACTTTTTTTTTTTTTAAATCCTGTACCTTCATCAACAGTTCAGAGATGGAATAACACAAGATATGATGAAATACATCCATTTATTAACATGATTTGCAGGTCTTTGAAATTTGGGAAATAATTTCTGTTCCATGTTTCATACATGGTCTGTTTAAAACATATGGAACTTTAGAACCAAAAATGGTACAGAAAAAAGGTCAACAGTTTGATAAACTAGAGTACATATGTATCTGTTGAATACAGTTTTATATCAGATGCATTAACTTGAATTTTTGGCCTTGCTGTTTACTTCTGCTTGACCGGGCCCGCTTGTAGATGCCATCGAAAATGAAACAAATGCCAAAAGTCGCCAAAAGTCACCAAAATCACCACTAATGTCACACAATCCTCATCACTACCCAACATTTTTAAGAAATATTGGTGCATCTTTTATACTGTAGCAGTTTAGCACTCGTCAAACCACAGAAGTGCTCTGAACACTCTGAACCAATCACAGAGCGGAACATTCACTGAGCCAATGAAACGCTTCGATACACTGAAGCGACTGACACGCAGAGTGAAGCAGTCAGGGGAGGGACCGACACTTCCACACTGGTCACGTGAGCGGCTGCTGCGAGACGAGCTCCGAGGCAGAGCTTCAGAGCAATTTGTTTCAGAAAGAACGAGACGTGCTCCAGAGCTCCGACTCATTTGCCCATCACTAGGCAAGACACTTCGCCCGCTTTGTGTTTAGTGTGAATGTGGTGTGTGCGTGAGTGTTGGTCACATGTTAGTAAAATGTATAATAAAGTGAACTCAAAATGAAAATGTTTGCGACTGATGTCTGCCCCCCTGTGGTGACTGTGAGCAGCTCGGTTCAGCTCCGAGGCCCCTGACACAGACCCTCTCAGCCTGGAGTCCTTCTTCTCCTGCGTGGAGGAGATCCCCATAAAGATGGAGGTTGAGAATAGACGCACGCTGACCCCTGACCCCGCTGTTTCCATGGAGATGGCCGGGAGCGTGAGCAGTAGCGACAGCATCGAGGTGCTGGGGACAGAGAGATCCTTCCGTACACAGCAGAGCATCAACAGCTGTGAAGGCAAAGGTACCATTTACTAAAAAACATTTTCTTTCATTTGAACTGGCTTTCGAACTCATGCTCTCACATTTCAAAACTGTTTTGACACTAAGGAAAAGACAGCACTGCTTTAAGGTCTGTTCAGCAAACTTGACCTGTGCTTCTCAGGCCGCTGGGACATTCTATAATATTAAAGGATATTTTTAAAGAATCCTAATGAAGTACAGGGTTTGGGGATGGGGGTGCTCAGACCTCAGGTGCAGGACAGTACAGGATGGATAAGTCAAACATGCCTGACAGTACAGAAAACATATGTAACAAAAGTCAGAAAGGGTCAGTGTCTGGTGTTTTGTTTTAATATTACTCATGAGCATATTGAATAGGCTTGCGGTCATTTTGACCACTGTGGCAGTTCTAGTGTTAAAGGAAACTGTGTGTAAGATTCAGATTTAAAATTGAATTTACATGACTTATCTGTGTCCCAGATATGAGTTAAACATGTTCATATCAAATATAACGTTGTCTGATAACAACTATAATGTTGATTTATTTGTAATTACAAAAACATTAGACATGGTGTCATTTATTTATGTCATCCAATCAGAAAGCAGAATGAACTTCACATGTGTCTGTCATTTTGGGCTGATTTCTATGTTGAAATCCAGTGTGTTTAAACCTAAAAGGACTGTCTCGAATCTGAACATTCACTACTTAAACCCCCACCATCATGAGTCAGTGCTAGTGCAGCTTCTGCTGCTCAGGGAGGGAATCCTGGAGGTTCTGAGCTTCACATGAGACATGAACATAAACTGAGAAAGAGACTAACTTGGACGTGTCTCTGTCTGCAGATTAAGACTCTGGACACACAGGTTCAGTTGTGACCTCTACCTTTTTAAAGGTAGAGGTGCAGGTTACATACAATTTATATAAAGTTACCTGGACCTTGACCAAAAACATAAGCAGTACTACTGATGTACTGCATTATATAAAGGTACAAACTTGAGGCAGGAGACTGATGCAGTTTACATATATTTATTTTGAATTGTTGTCACCATGAAAGACATGGTTCTGCTTATTCTGAATACACTGAGTAATAATCATGATGATTCAAAATGATTGTTTATGCCATGTTATAATATTTTATCACTTAATCATGGTTATGCTACTAATTATCTGCCAAATATCACTTACACTGGAAATGAAAAGGGGGTTTGGTCAATGAAATTGTTACTTCACAGGAATTCACTGCAATTTATGACAGCAAAATATCTCTAACCTCTTCCTTTATGTCGTCTTCCTTCTGCGCACAGAGCCTCCAGGCCTGATGTGGGAGCCCTCATCCAAGCGCATTCCTGTAGACGCAGCCGTGAGGCGGGTCAGAGCGTACGCCCGCAGAGCCAACAGCGAGGACAGCATCGAGGTCCTGAGCATCACAGACTCCATCATCCCCGAGGACCTGAGTGCCATCACCGAGGAGGCCGAGCATTCCCCTCTGCCCAATGGAGAGCTGCTCTGTGGGGTACTCCCTGAGCCCCTGTCAGAGCCCCTGTCAGAGCCCCTGTCAGAGCCCCTGTCAGAGCCGCCAGAACAGCCTGTGGTCCGGCTAAAGAACACCCCTGTGCAGGAGGAGCATGGGACAGCAACAAGTGGGTACTGTTTAAAGGGCCCATCTCATGTAAAATAACTCTTTACACATTGTATCTTCTGCACATACACAAGCACAATTTGGGTTTTGGAACATCCTTTACACAATAGTTCTGAAATCTTACTGATTTTTTGGAGACAGTCACAGACCAGGAACTATGAAAGACCGACTATTGCTTCTCCCCCCACCCGTCCTGAGAAAGCACAGGCTCCGCCCTCCAAACATGACGTAGGCGACGAGTGAGCCGCCCTTCCTCCGCCCATCTCAGTGAGGGATGGGGAGACAGACGTGCACCCTGATAGCGGTAGGAATAAACTTTTATTCATCATGGAGATACAGCGCGTTCAGCCTAAAACAGGTATAACAAGCTTTCTGTTACGTCAAACGTGTCATAATTGGAGCTACCGCGTCATCGTTGTAGCAGCTTTAGTTCGTTGTCACGTGGGAGGGTGGCAGAAATACACTACAATTTGTTAAAAAAAAATGCCGAATCAATCTAAAATCCAATTCGGCGACAAATACAAGGCCCACACATCACTCTTAGAAGGTAGAAAGCTCTGAAAAGTGCATTTTGCATGAGATGGGCCCTTTTTTCTTGATTCATGTCCATCACGTTGTTTCCTCAGCACAAACATACCTGGAGTTCTTTTATTTCATTTCTACCTCTTCTCTAAAGGCAAATCTAATTCCCTAACCTCCTCTGAAAGCCTGTATCAATCCCCCGTCTGTGTCTGTCCCACAGCAGATCCTCCTCTGGACCCCTCAGACTGGCCTGTCCCCGGTGCTCTGTCCCTGGTGCAGTCCCTCCATGTCCCCTCCCTGTCGGTGGTCTCCCGCTGGTCCCAGAGCGCCACTCCGGCCCGGCTGCTCAGCCTCGACGAGCGCTCGGACTGCACCAGCGCCACAGGCTCCTCTGACCCCCCTCCCCCCGGGCTGTCCTCCGCGCAGGGCCTGAGGAGGAGGCTGAGGAGGCGCAGGAAGGCGGGTCTGCGGGCGCTGCGCTTCCTCAAACAGCACTCCTTCTGCCAACACACGCTCTACTGCCTGCTGTCGGGGCGCCCCCTGGTGGTGCTGGGGGGAGAGGAGGCCCTGGTGAGAAAGGTGGTGGACGGCTTGAAGCTGTTTGTGCCCGCGCCCGGTCCGGACGAGTGCGCCATCCTGCCCAGTCTGACCAGCCCTCTGCAGCTCACCGACCTGCTCACCCGGAGGCTCATCGGCATACACAGGTAGCACCCACAACATCACTCAAAGCCAGTAGCACCCATCGCATGTAATGCAGGGTGACTAGAATTTCAAAATCAAAAACTAGGACACTTTCAGTTTGGGGCGGTTGGTAATAATAACACTGTGAAACGAGTGTGTACCTAAAGAAAACTCTTATTCACTCGCTGAGTCTGTATAGTCACATTTACTTCATTTTTAAGCAGCTTTTCTGTATTTTACTTAAATAAATGACATGCATTCTTCTTGCCTGGGATCCAGAATACACACTCTTCATTACTTTACAAAGATGTGTCTGGTCACCGGTGAATCTCTGTATTCAAATGGCCCTGATTAAACGGGGTCACCTTCTTCACAGATCTGAGCTGTAATTGGCCTGGTTGTGTCATGTGCTTGTCGTGACATGCATTGGAACCTTTCAGGCAAAGTAATAACATGGAGACAAGCAAGTCTGATTTAAAAAATGTATTATTTTATTTAACAAAGATAATGTACATTAATAAACAGACTTTCTATAAATGCACCAGAGTTGGGTTAAATGGCTCGTTTTCATCTGCTGCCCATGGACAGATGTTAAAGTCAGAAAAAACCCCAGAGGCAACACAGTTCACCTTTAACTATAATACCAGAACTTAAGTAAAAGTACTGTACAATAGTGTGATGATGCTCCCATAGTAACCTGTGTGCTCTCTCTCTCTCTCTGTGTGTGTGTGTGTGTGTGTGTGTGTGTGTGTGTGTGTAGGACATCGGGCAGTGCCTGTGCTGGGGTGCTGGCGTCTCTGAGCCACTACAGTCGTTACCTGTCAGTCATGGACCTGGACCAGAGGAGCCTGAGGGCCCCGGCCTATTCGGGCGCTCTGATTGGCCGCCTGGCAGAACCACAGTGTGGCTTCAGTAAAGGTCTGACGTACCTGATGCACCTGGAGAGTGAACTGAGCGCACTCCAGAACAAGGCTCTGCTCTACGCCTTCTGTCCTCCCTACAGACAGCGCCCCCTCCTGACAGACTGTGACCGCAGAGTACTGCACTTCCTGTCTGACCTCATGGCCCAGCACCATGCCGCCCGTGGCCCCCCTGTGTTGGCCTTCAGCTACTGCTCCACTCAGCTGCACAGGAACACTGCTGCCCCCTAGAGCCCGATTTTACACCTTTTAAATGTGATAATATATATGTGTTCATTAAAGTCTAAAGGTTCACTTGGTGTGATGAGTGAATCTCACAGCAACGACAGGGTTTATTCTGCACTGCTCAAATGTTTTTAAACTGACCATCTTCACTTCAACAGCTCAGAGACTCAAGATGAGCCACTCAGTGTGAAGTCAGATTGTGTCCTTTAATCCCTCTGATCTGAGGGTTTATTGTGTTCTGTTGCACGTAAGAAACATTTGACCCTGAAACATTCTCAGGGTTTAGCAAAACTAACTCACACTGACTTCTAGTGACTGTAGATGTAGGTTTTTACTCAGTGTTTTAAGATGTGATTATGCACCAGCGAGATGTTGTGCAGACAGGAGCCAGTCTCACTCTACTGCTGCAGGCTCGTCATCAAACTACTTCAAAATGCTGTTCAATAATACACTTTGCACCTTTTTTTTTTTTAGAGAACACACTTTTTATTTAAGTGTTGCATCACAAGCCTTCAAACGGTCAGCAAACAAACGGTCAGCAAACAAACTCTCCAACCAAATAAAAATAAACTTAACCAAATAAAAATAAACTTAAGATAACATTACACTGACCCACTTTGGGTGTTTAGCAGAACTGATTAAAGTGACTCAAACAGGAACAGGAAGTCCTATAGCAGCAGGGCTAGAGGTGAGCAGGCCTCCTCTCTGGAGACCACTGCTGGACATCTGTGGGCAAAGCAGACATCATTTATGTCAATAATCTGAATAAAGTAGGTGTACACAAATATGCCAAAAGGTTATATTTCAGGTTTATCATTATTCATGTACAACAATAGGCAAAAAAAATATAAAAAATACTTGAAAGGAAATCTGTTGAGATAAAAAGGGCTAAGAGCTGGTGAGCAATATCCTTTGAGAAGTTTTAGTTAAAAAAGCTATGCACTGTACGTATGACAGCAAAAATACTCAAACACTATGCCAAGATTGTGAACTTAACTGCAAACTGTATTTAAAATGAAGTCAAAAAATGATTGACTCTGCTCCTCTAAGTTTTAATGGCCCCACTCGGGGATAAATAAAGTGACTGAAATGAAATCTCGTCTCATTTGGTTCAGTTTTAGTGAGAAACATTACTACTATGACAGATTTTAGACACTGACATAAAGGATCTTTATGTATGAGTTTGCATTTTATATTGCAGAAGAATGGCCTGTGCCCCATGTATGAGGTATACAGGTTCAAAACAAAGAACTGTTATTGATAACTTTTGTAATTAAGAATAAATCGGCATTAGAATAGTTATGTCCAATTTACTTGGCTATCAGTTGACAGTCCAGTGTTTGTGTACAGCACTTTGGCCAGCTGTAAAGTTTTAAAAGTGCTTTATAAATAAAATTGTATGGTATCAGTTGGAATGCTGAACTCCAGCACTGAAACTGGTTTCTTTAAATCCTTTAAATCTTGCCCGTTTTAATTAAAGGGGCTGTATGTAGTCTGTGCTCTTAATGATTGAAATGGTTGAAGTTTGTCTCATTCTCAGTTCTTGTTCAGGACTCATGTGAAGCTCAGAACCTCCAGAATTCCCTCCCTGAGCTGCAGAGGCTGCACTAACACTGACTCATGATTGTCTGTAGTTTCTGGGATTTAGGTAGTGACCATTCAGATCAGAGAAACATTTTAGGTTTAAACTCACTGGAATTCAGCAGTGAAACTGGCAACCCAAATGAGAGACTCATGAGGCTCATTCTGCTTTCTGACTAGATAATTGCCTTGTCAAGCAAAACTCCAAATTTCAGCAAACTGAACTTTTGAACTACTTGGCCATCATGTCTAATGTTTTTGTAATTAAGAACAAATTACAGCCATGTCTTATCTGAGGACACAGTTGGGTCATGCTTATGGAATTTAAAATCTAACTCTGAAATACAGTTCCTTTAAATCAATACTCACCTTTTAAGCTAGCACACAGAAAACAAATGAACAGTTTTCACAGCAAAACCAAAAACTAATTTCATTCTTCTCTCCAAAACAAATATCAAGTGTCACTCACCGTGGTGAGCGTTCATTTGCGACACAGTCCACTTCTGCCTACAAGCCTGAGACGAGCACAAATGAGACATGTTTAAAATGTCATGGAAAACTCACCAAGTATGACTACTGACTTGCAATATGTGCTGTTCACCACCAGGTTAGGACATGTAAGAGAGTGTTACATAGTCAGGCACGAGAGCTCCGCCCCAGTGTGGGGACAAACACTGCCAAACACTAAACACTGTCTGCTAAATCTGCACTCTTTTGGGGGATTTCTTTCTTTTGTGATTAGACTCTGATATGCAATCTCTGTCAAAAGTTTGGACACCCCCTCTAATTCAATGTTTTTTTGTTTTTTTACTTTCTACATTTTAGATACATATGGAAGACATCAAATATTTGAAGCAAGATATATTGAATGATGTAGAAAGATGTATAAAAAAAAAATGAAATAACTATTTTTTTTATTTAAATTTTTTCTTAATGAATTGCAGTATTCTGAAATACTGTGCCTTGTCAGGGTCAAGAAATGCCAAAAGTGTAAAGCAGTGATCAAAGTAAAAGGTAAACAGTATTTTATAAAAGTTTATTTTTACTATATTTCGTAGATATGATGATTTTATTGAGAACAGTGTACTAATAACGTTATGAAAATCCCAGTATTTTTCGGACTATAAGTTGCACTTTTTTCATGGTTTGGGTGTTTCCTGTGACTTATACTCTGGTGTCACTTACATATTCAAATCTTCAGACTGACAGCCGCGAGAGGCTCTAGTCTTGTTTATCAGTTTTCTGCATGTCTTCTGTAGAAAAAGCCTCTGTCCTGCTGCAAGTAGTGAAATATTCAGCAGAAAATGATAATTGAGCAGCAGAAAGAAAGTGCTGGCGATAGTCGATATAATCGCTGATATATTTAGTGATGTAAAAATTCACTGTAAATGTTGAATTGTTTAAAAAACATAGGTTTGGCTCTGGTGGATTTTAAATTGGGTTTATTTAGGCAACATTATTGTTATTCTGCCTCTTTACATCATATTTACAGACAGTAGGTTGGCCTAATGGCATTTTTGCATCACATTCTAGACACTAGTGATGGGTATTCCAGTTTTTTTTAGAGAACCGGCTCTTTTGGCTCGGCTCACTAAAAGCTGCTGGTTCTTTTGGCTCCCAAGTGGCTCTTCAGATTGTTTTGTTGCAAGCAGGACTAAAGCACGTCTAAAGCAGGACTGAATCAGGACTGAACCAGGTCTAAACCAGGACTGAGAAAGGACTAAACCGGGACTTATTTATTTTATGCTAAACTACAGTCAAATATGCTTGTTTTTTTTGTTTTTTTATCCTATGTACACGCAAATTTCTCAAAGTTTCGTTGTCAGCCGCTGCCGCTGTCAAACTACCACGAGTCTGCACGCGGCGTGAAGAGAAAAAAGTGAGAGAAAGTGAAAACACGACTCCCAATAAGGATCAGGCTCCCGTCGTTCGCTTCAAAGAGTCGGCTCTAAGAACCATTTCGTTCGCGACCGACCCATAACTAGTAAAGAAACTAGCGCTATTAGCCTTTAGCCGTAAATACGTGCGCGCCGCGGTAATTAATGATATGCATAAATGTGGATCATTCACACGTCTGTTCACCGCTCATTTACATATCAGTGCAGGTCCAGTAACAAATATACGGCCAATATAGTCACTTTACAATAGGCCAATAGAAAACAGTCTGTTTATGTGCGGGAGCTACAGCAGCTAACCCATAACAAATGACAAAAACTAGCTTCAGAGTCGACATATTTCCAACACTCAGCCTCACACAGGCTCCTCCTCACATCACAAGTCTGCACTAATAAATGTCTTTTTAATCCAGACTCAAACCGATTGTCCGTAAAAAGAATATAATCTAAGTGTTTGGATCTGTGTCTGCAGGTGTAAACAAACACACATGAGTGACGCGACTCTGTGGTGTGTTCAGGGACAGTACGGACACACACACAGACAAATGACTCCGTAGATAAATACTGATGTGGAGCCACATATTAGGACATTTATCTGTCTGTAAATTGGATTAAATGAACAGAATGTAGAGAGTCTAAGATTTTTAACGACGTATCGCATGCCCACGTGAAATATCGGCCCCTATCAGCAAGCATATCGGCCTATAGCCTCCAGGTGCCCATATCGGTCGATAATATCGGCCAACCGATATATCGGTCGGGCTCTAATTGCTACAAGAAATTCCACGCTTTCCGTTCCAGTCGGGACAAGTGTGAGTCCATGTGCACAGTGTACAAAGCAGCACATATGTTTCAGTGTCCAGTGGGAAAAAGTTTTGCCAGGTGAGAGTCGCGCAATGTCGATGACGAGTCCCCACCTCCCTCCCCCCGTACGGTGTCCTGGGTTTGACAAACACAAATCTGGTCACATTAACCTGTATTCCACTGAGTCATGTCTTTTAATCCAACAGAAGCTGAACCACATCAGCGACACAAGAATTGTTTTTTTATCTTCGCTTAGTTTATGCAAATTAGTCGTGCGGTTTTAAGTTTTGTTTCTACTTGCACAAAACTGAATTAAACACATTATAATGTCAAACGGGCTGTTGTGGCTCTAGAGTCGTTACGGTTTATATGTCGTAAAGTTGAATTTATTTATGCAGACTAGTAGTGCAGACAATAATAATAATGATCATTTTAATATAAAAACCTTAATGATTAATCGATAATCGATTGTTAATTCTCTCGACGATCGATTAAGAAAATTGAATCGAATGCCCATCCCTAACAGAGGATGAAGAATTCCATGGATTAGTGATTTGGAGTGAAATGGAGAGATTGGTAAACTTATGTTCTGTTGTTTATGCTATAATTTTCTGAAGAACTGTTCATATGTGACGTTAACAGTCTGTTGTTCTCTATTGTTACAACTAGAACTTGCCTTTCAAAATAAAATGTCGGTTCCTGGTCTGTAATTTTATAAAATAAATTTCTTCCAAAAACTGTGACTCATAGTCCAGTGTGACTTATGTTTTTTCTTCTTCATTATGCTTTTTTTGGCTGGTGTGACTTATACTCAGAGCAACTTATAATCCGAAAACTCCGATAATTAAAAAGCAAAAATGAATAGAAGAGTACCCAAACTTTTGAAGAGAATCCTAGTTTTAATAATTACCCTATTTTCTGATCTATGTTATAATGTTGTTTCCTCATTAAAAACATACCTGGATATTTAGGCTCAGTTCTCCAAGTGCTCCACTGTGTTTTGAAACGCTATACACCTTCATTAAAATCATTTGGATAATTTCGGTTCTGGAATCCAATCTCTACTGAATAAACTGTAGCTCTTAACTTAAACTACCACTTCATGACATGACAGAAGAAACAGAGCATTTTGAGCTTTAGAGATGTAGACAGACTCATAATAAAGGATTACTCAAACATGTGTCAATGCAACAAAACACAACTCCAGGTGTGTTTTTGATGATTTAACATTTTGCATAATACAGACCCTTTACACATGCACTGGCAATCCACAGAGGGCACTTTTTTTGGGCCACACTGTGTATAAGAGAAGAAAGGATTAGCCAAGTTTCCTGTGTACTCACTGATCTAAGTGTCTGGAGGGAGGTATCAACATGCGGAGGAAGTCCAGCGACTTGTCTGCAACGAGGAGAGAGGAGAGTTGTTGAAAAACAGACACTAATACAGACATTAAACTAGATCTGAGCAGGTATCAGAACTAAAAAAGGAAAAAATCCCATTCACAGGACAGAAATGAACCTTTCCTGAATACCGTATTTTCCACACTATCAGTGTTGGGAAGGTTCTTTTTAAAATGTATTCCCCTACAGATTACAGATTACATACCCCAAAGTGTAGTTTGTAACGGAATCCATTAAATTGAAGTTAAAGTGAGTAACATAATCTGAATACTTTGGATTACTTGATATTGTCATGTTTTTTAAAACTACATGAATGTACCAACCACATCCTAAAAATTCTTGTTTGTTCTCTTCAAATTGTCTGTTGAGCCCAAGTCTCCATGAACAGACTTTTGTTTACTGTAGAGAAGCAAAGACTAGGAAATTTTAACATGAGATGTTTTGTCTGCTTAAAGACAATAAAAAGCCCAGTCTTTACTTAAACATATTAATATTATTGATAAATATGAATGATTTCTTTATGAGATCACTGCTGCCTTAAATTATGTCCACCTACTGTTAGTGTCATACTGTTTAGACCTGGTTTTACCCCTGGTTTAGTCCTGCTTTTAGTTCTGGTTTAGCCCAAAATGTGAAAACAGGAAAATACTGCCATGTAATGTATTTCAACAAAGTAACTGTAATCCAATTATCTCACATTGAAACAGTAACTGTAACTGAATACAGTTACTCATAATTTGTACTTTGATTATGTAACACCGCTACATGTAATCTGTTACTCCCCAACACTGCACTATTAGGCACTCTGGATTATAAGACACACTGTCATTAAAAGGTCTTTTTTCAAACTTTTTTCACAAATAAACCGCACCGGACTTTAAAGGAAACACAACAGTGTGATGGGTGAGTGGTTTTGTTTGTTTGTGGTGTTCACAGTGACTCTGGGCTTTGTTCAGTTGTGGCGTGTAGGGAGGTGCTGTCTGGGACCAACGGATTGTCGACGTGTTCACAGTGACTCAGTTGTTCAGTTGTGTCTAGAAACGGCACATTGCACTCGCTTTTTCGGTTCGTTCCTCCGTTCTGTTCCTCGTCGGCGTGGACTGATGAGTGTGTCTGTGGGTGTGTTTTGCTGTGCGGTCGCTGTCTGCTCCATGTGTTTGTGTGTTCTGCGGGTGGTGCAACTTTGTAGTTTACTGAAGTCGTGCTGGGACACCTGAGTGGATTCGTGTATAGGGCGCTCTGGCTTGTGGGGTGTGCAGTCGTTTTTTGATAGGGTTTGAGCGCGCCCAATAGCCCGGAAAATACGGTATATAAACTTGGTGCTTGTATCATTCGGGGTCTGACGTCGAGGGGACATGCTGCTTGTTGTTCTGTCTGACCTATTTCTTGCAAGAAATAAACTCTGCATCTTTGCTTCAACACTCATCAGTGTCTACAAAGAGAGTCTTTTTCCACAACCCAAAAGCCAAGTAGATACCACGTCCACAGTTGATGGATTTTCATTCTTTTTTTTTGGTCATCATAATTACAAAGCCGCTGCATTTCTATAATTCTGTTTTGAACTTTCATCGACAATTTGAAAGAAAATCCTCCATACAACCTTTAACACTAGATCCATGTGTAACTGCACAGACAGTGGTGTTTTCTGCACTCAGGCTGTGTGTATCTGCTGTGTTGCCAAACCATAGACTGTATATATGAATGGACAATGTGCCAAACAAAGAATCCATCCATACATTCGCTGCATTGTTTTATTAGCCGCAGGGTTCAAAGTGTGAGAATAAAGTGGCTGCTTATTGTCCGGAATTTACGGTAGTTCCATTTTCAACTCTTTGGCTAAAATTATTCTTGCATTTTTGATGGACATTTGTGTACTGAAATGGATCGAGCCACTCTTCACTTAATGTATTACTTATTTAACAAACTAGCATTCATTTGATGGTAAACTGATAAATATTTACTAGTGACGGGCAAAACGTCTCGTTCTTTCTGAAACAAATTGCTCCGAAGCTCTGCCTCAGAGCTCGTCTCGCAGCAGCCGCTCACGTGACCAAAGTGTGGAAGTGTCGGTCCATCCCCCTACTGCAGGAGTGTCCAAACTTTTTTCATCAAGGGCCACATATGTAAACACAGGAGGGCCGTAGCCTGATGCTCAGTACAGGGAATAATTTAAATATGTGCATGTTTATCATGTTAGAATGAGCCAACAGTCTTTATTCATGCTAAGATCCTTAAAACCACACACTAAAATATGAAATATTGGCTTTATCCAGGTAGATTCTCAAAAAACTTGCAGTAAAAAATATTTTTTTAATTGACGCAAGGTAATTTGGGTCAATTCACTTGGAAGCCTGAGGGCCAAGAAAAATTTGTCTGAGGGCCGCATTTTGCCCCCTGGCCATAGTTTGGACATGCCTGCCCTACTGCTTCGCTCTGCGTGTCAATCGCTTCAGTGTATCGAAGCGTTTCAATTGGCTCAGCAAATGTTCCGCTCTGTGATTGGTTCAGAGTGTTCAGAGTGTTCAGAGCACTTCTCTGGTTTGACGAGCGCTAAACTGCTACAGTATAAAAGATGCACCAATATTTCTTAAAAATGTTGCGTAATGATGAGTACTGTGTGACGTTAGTGGTGATTTTGGTGACTTTTGGCGACTTTTGGCATTTGTTTCATTTTCGATGGCATCTACAAGTGGAAAAAAGTGATCCATGGTTTGGGATCACTTTGATCTAATTCCACCTAACAAGGTAACACCTATTTTCTTATTTACAGCTGCTATTTATGTTGCTCTTTACATATTATTTTAAATCATCATTATTATTATTGTTGTTAGGTACAGTGTCGCTCTGCACACAACTATTGTCTTACACTAACAACACTTCATCGATGCTGAGACACCTGCGTGACAATGGTTAAATTTGTCCACTAGAGGTCAGTGTTTCTCCGAGGCCTCAGACACGTCCAACCATTTGAGATATATTGCGACTGAGGTGTCAATGCTTCACGAGGCTCCATTCGCCCATCACTAATATTTACCACAGTTCCCCCCCCACAAAATAAAGTATTAATCAGAAAAACATGAACAGCTCATAAGCCCTGCCCCCCGTCCCCCCTGACCTCTGACCTGTGCTCTGGTCCAGCTCCTGGGTGACCTCTGTGATGAAGTAGCTTAAACGCTCGGAGGACGACAGACTGTCCCAGAGCCAGCGCAAAGCCCACACGTTGTTCTGGACACAGTAAAACACTCAAAGTAAAACAATATATACAGTCACTGACAAAAGTCTTGTCGCTTATCCATTTTGTAGAAACAAAATCTTGTAATCTGACTTTAAATTAATCGATTGATTTTAGAAATGTCTCATATGAAAGATAAAACCCTCCCAAATTATGCTCAATATACTAAAATAAATTTGCTTCACTGAAGAAAGATTGATCATTTAATGAACACAGAAAGGTCAGATTGTGGCAAGACAAAAGTCTTGTGGCCTTGTCATATGATGCACCCAATCCTAGATTACAGCCTCACCTGTGATCAGTTACTGATCAATCAGTTAGTGGGTGTGTATAAAAAGAAGCCCAGCACACCAGACCTTCACATCAACTGCAACTTGACCTCTGACAACATGCCTAAGATCCACCCTGAGACCAAAGCGTTAATTATCAAGAGGCTGAAGACCAGATCCACTGCTGAGGTGGTGACACCTTCAATGTGTCTCAGCGTCAAGTACAAAGAATAAGAAAAAGATCTGAAATGACTGGAGATGTTTTTGACAAGCTCAGGTCCGGCAGACCCCGCAAGACAACTGCTCAGGAGGACGGTTTGTTGATTCAAAAATCCAAGGCCAGCCCCTTTTCCACTGCAGCAGACTCCACCAGGCCTGGTCACCTCAAGTCCCTGTGTCAACCATAACAGTTTGTAGAATTCTGTCTCGAAATGGCCTCCATGGTCGAATCAGTGCACAGAAACCAGCACTAAACAAAAGGAAATTAAAAAACCATGGCCCACAGCCTGCTAAAAGGATGAACACTGGAAAAGTGGCAGAAGGTGGATTTCTCAGATGAATCCTCAGTTGAATTACATCACAGCCGCCACAAATATTGCAGGAGACCTACTGGAGCCGCATGGATCCAAGATTCACCCAGAAAACAGTTAAGTTTGGTGGTGGAAAAATCATGTTCTGGGGTTCCATCCAGTCTGGGGGTGTGTGAGACATTTGCAGGGTGGAAGGCAAATATCAATAACCTAAAATATCAAGAAGTATTAGCTCCTCTTACATTCCCAACCATAAAAAGGGTCAAATTTTGCAGCAGGATGGTGCTCCATCACATACTTCTATCTCTACATCAGAGTTTCTCAAGGTGAAGAAGATCAAGGTGGTCCAGGACTGGCCAGCCCAGTCACCAGACATGAACATCATTGAGCATGTCTGGGGTAGAATGAAAGAGGAAGCATGGAAGACAAAACCAAAGAATCTTGATGAACTCTGGGAGGCATGTAAGACGCTTTCTTTGCTATTCCTGATGACTTCATCAACAAATTGTATGAATCATTGTTGAACCGCATGGATGTGTCCTTCAAGCTCATGGAAGTCATACAAGATATTAAATCTGGATCTCACAGCACCACTACTTCATTCACTGACATTATGCAACATATTTTTGTATTTGAAGTAAATTATTTGTTCAATTTTCTGTAGGCGACAAAACTTTTGTCTTGCCAAAATCTGACCTTTCTGTGTTCATTAAATGATCAATCTTTCTTCAGTGAAGCAAATTTCTTTTAGTATATTGAGCATAATTTGGGAGGGTTTTAGCTTTCATATGAGACATTTCTAAAACCAATCGATTAATTTAAAGTCAGGTTATAAGCTTGCATACACAAAATCTATAAATATAAATATACTGTACAACAAGGAGTAAATCTGCAATGTCTGGGCTTGGTTGGAGGTGCCTTTATGTAATTAAACTGCTCTGGGTCCTAACTATAACTTGGGATGTCTTTTTTGTTTTGTTATGATTATTGTGAAAAAAAAATTGAGGAAAATGTTATGTTTATTTACGATATTACGTACCAAGAACAGTTTGCAAACGCTTACATTTAGCTGCACTTTTTAAGGGTTCAAACTGCTTAATTTTGCTTCTAAAATGGTTACAATTGTTAGACTTTAGTTCTTACGTTCATATAGTAACCTGAATAAATCTTTATTATTATCTAAATTATTTGTTTATTTATTTATTACTGATTAAAAGGTGGAAAACGTTTGCCATCTGGACAGTTTTTAAAATAAAGGTCCTATATTACGCAAAATGGACTCTTGTGAGCTTTAATTCATATTATAATGTTGATGCCTCGTCAAAGCATCACTGAAGTTGTGGTTTGTGTCATTCACACGTTTGAGTAATCCTGCTTTCTTAGTTTGTCTGCATCTCCAAAGTTCAAAATGCTGAAACAACATTATAACAGAGATCAGAAAACAGTGTGATATGTGCCCTTCAAGTTTTGTTTTATTGATTAAAGTTGAATGAACTTTTGTCTTATAAATGTACCACTAAACCCTTTTGTGTATTCGTTTCATTTTATTTGCTATGACCTACCCTGGTTTTATGTAAGCAATAAACAGAAAGATGCTTTGGGATGAGAGCGAGAGTGTTGCATCAGCTCATTCTCATCTTATTCTTTTCACTCTTTGTGTTTGAAAATCAAATATCCCATATATAATTTTAACTGAATTGTGAGTGCAGTGTAGTACCTGAAAGCAGAGGAGCACAGGGAGCACGGGGTGGAAGGGGCGGGCCTGGATCCTCTGAACCAGAGCCTCAGTAAGTAGCAGCAGTAGAGCCTGGTCTGGGTACACCTGTCCACAGGAGGGCAGTGTAGAGCTGTGAGATCCAGAAAGCATGGCCTTACCCCTACCCCTCCGCCCTCCTCCTAAGCAGGTACACTACCCTCTACTGAGGCACTACAGCGGCACAGCCTTGATGGTCTTGGTCTTGCACAATCTTTACAGCACATACTCCACATACTCCACTTAAAGATGACTATGCTTTACTTTGGCTCACTGGGGGTGCAGAGCTCCAGAATTTTGGAGCTGAACACTATATATTATATTTTTGTATATTTTGTATATAGATTAAAATTTGCTCTAGTTAGTGCTTAGGAGGAGGCACGCTCACCTTCAGGACGTGGCGAGGGATAAGGAAGCTGCATGTGTTCTTGCTCTGTAGCACGAGAGACTTGACCAAGTCTTTGGACTCCTGCATGAACATGAAGCATAGTGAGGACCAAGACTCAGAGGATCAGGATAGAAAGAGAACCCTCATGGTGGTACGTACTTCAAGATACTCTGCACTGGGCTCCAGAAGGCCACCCAACTGTCTAGCAGGAGAGCTGACCAATGAGAGTACGCTGATCCAGCACCGACACTGACACACACAAAGGGAGACAGATCAGACAACACTTCACAGGCTGTGTTCTCGTTCTGGTGATCTATGATCAAAATGACAAACTGCCAATACGATGCTATGGGTGAGCTACAATGTTTTAAAACACATATGAACTTAAACAGGGAGTATGAAGCACAACTCAATCATGTTAAAACAGGGTGTCCCCAGGATTGACTACCCCAAATTTAAGACTTTTTAAAGACCTTTTTAAGACCACTCAAATGAAAAATAAGACTAACATCGCACCTATTATGCACAGATCCAATTCTAATAATGACCAACCAATTACAGCACTATATGTAAAATCTAAGAGCCACTGTGGATAAAACCTACACTTCCCCATGATCCATCCAACATCTTCCTCCACTCTACTGATTGTTTACTCATTGCTGCCGGCTCCAGAACCCAAAGTATTGTTTGCACATACTCCAAATTAGACGTTCATTCACATTACAAGATTTTACGTTGTTTTTTTTCTCTCCCTCCATTTAACATTGCATTACAGCCTGGTTGAGTTTACAAAAAAATAGGCTAATGAAATTTAAGACCTTTGTGAAAAAAATAAGACTTGGACAACATAATTTAAGACTTTTTAAGGCCTTAATTTAGGAACATGAAATTTAAGACCTTTTTAAGACCCTGCAGCTGCCCTGTATAATGTTGTACCTTCAAAAACGTGGTTAAAGATTATTTGAACCCACTTGACGGTTAGCAGTGCAAGCCTGCACAAGACCCATAGGCCTACGTAACCCTGGCTTATATACAAACGTATGATACTAAACAACACATTACAGCTTCACAAATCTGATGAGATGTGCAGTAGTGAAATGCAATCTGACTGTGATAGCCCTCTTGAAGGGGGAGTGACTTAGTGCAAGGAGCAAGGAGAGGAGTCAAACATTATTATTTTAGGTTATTTTAGGCAATTTTCAACAATGAACGGTAACACGGTGAGCTAAACATGATGTGTTAGCAGTTAGAAGTGTAATGCCCTCTCTTTAAATAATGGTTTTGTAAGGAACAAGACTTTAATTTTGCTCTTGGGCGCTCCACATACACAAATCTGTCGTAGGGTTCTCGGCAATGTTTGCAGAGGGAATTACCATGGGGACCATTATAGCTAATAATAAAAATGCCTCGGCACACAATAGTAATGAAGGCAGAAATCCAGCAATGATTTATGGATTTAAAAAACTGTGCAGGGTTGCTACCTCTGACATGACAATACTGGGAGTAATACTAAAGTGTTCTGTGATGGCTTAGACTTATGGCAAAAGATTCATTAAACAAGTGTGAATGAAGCAAAAAACAACTCCAGGTACGAGTTTGATGAGCGAGCAAGGTTATAAAACATCAGTATGGCATGATATGGGTTCTTTAAAGGGCCCATATTACGCTATTTTCTGATATGTTATAATATTGTTTCCTCATCATAAACAGACCTGGAGTTGACTTTTGTTTCAGTCACACATGTTTAACACACACGCTGTATGTTTAGACTGAGTTCTTCTCTCAACCAGAAAACACTCCGTTCCATCTTGTGAGGTCATGTGGTAATATAAGTAATGCTCCACTGCGTTTTTACCACTACATGACATCACAACGTAGAACAGAGCATTTTGAGCTTTGGAGATGTAGACAGACTGATAATAATAAAGAGTTACTCAATCATTGGTGAATGAATAAAACAAAACCCGAGGTGCATTTTTAAGGAGGCAACAACATTGTAACATGAGGTAAAGCTAACAAAGGGTCAAATTTGTGCAATACAGGACCTTTAAGTGTGATAAGTATGTAGTGGGCTTACATCATTGACAATGTCAGAGCAGAAGGCCTGAGCTCTGAGAGCAAACTTCACCAAGTCCACACGCTTCAGAGGCACGGCACCTGCACGTCAACAACACACAGTTTAGTGACAAGAGTCTAAGCAGAGGAAGTACATACACACTTGGTTCTACTTCAGGGGCAGCAGACTGGATTCTTGTATGGAATTGGATTTGGAAAAGCAGTAGTGATTACATGTTAAATGAAGGATTCCTCAAACTGGGGGTGGAGGAGGATATAAAGCCATTTGTAGCCATCCTGAAAAACCTGTTGTATACAATTAAATACTTGTCAGCTGCCCCCTAGTGGACTGTTCATGGTCTTCAGTAAATAACAGGCTCAGTGGAGACATTTTCAAAATGGCCACATTGGTGGACGTGACTTTCTCTCTTTTTGGAGGAACAACTTTGTAAATTTTGAAAAGGTTAGTGTAAGAACTGCCTAAATACTGTTAGTGATTCTTCAATATGAACATTTACTTTCTTAGATTAATCTATGAAGTCTTCATATTTTAATTTTCATTTTGTAGAAAAATTGTGTTAATATTGTATCACATTTGATACAGCAGGTCTTTGTGATTCTGTTCCTCATCCATCACTATAATGCAATTTATGATGCAATCTGCAGAATTCACGAAATTCCATGCAAATTTAACATCACACAATTGTTAGTATTTCATAACTAAGATTTCACCTTAAAAATATATTTTCAGTTGTTATTATTATTAGTATTGTTGCATAATTGTGGAATTTTGATCTTTACATGACTTGTGCATAAATAAAAGGTGCAATGGTCTATTTGGTAATAACTGTCCTGTCGCTTCAATTTTCACACACAAAACAACTAATAATCTATATTTTACTGACTCAGTGGATATAAAGGATTCACTCATTTACTACTGACATATATTTATAATCATTTCACACACGTGTACGATGGAAATGTAACGTACATCTGTGCTTGAACAAGGACCAAAACTGTTTTCTCACCTACCACATGGCAAAATAAAAATCATCCTGTTCAGACATTTAAAAACATAAAAATAAATGTTGTGAAAGGTTTTTCTGAGTTCTAAATGTATCAAAGAGAATTTAGTTTGGTCCTAAAATAAACATGGTTGGGTTCTATAAAATGGCCATATAGGCCCAATGTATCAAATATTATACATTTTTTATTTATAAAATGGTCAATTTTATCTTTTTTTTTTTAAACACATTTTGTTCATAGGTCCAATAATGAGTTAAATATCAAAAAATCTGATTTTTCTCTCAATTATTTCATGTGAATGTATATTTACGTTTTAAATTCCATAAACATGACCTAACTGTATCCTAACAGATATGAGGTTAATGTTCAAATGAAATACAGCTTTTACTGATATTGTAATATGGATTTAACCTTCATTACAAAAACAATGGACATGATGGCAAAGCTGTTTGTGTTATAATTTAGTGTTTTGGTTTTCATGATGATTATCCAATAAGAAATCAGAATGAGCCTCACATGAGACGCTCATTTGGGTTGCCAGTTTCAGTACTAAACTCCAGTTGATTTAAAACTAAAATGCCTCTGTCTGATCTGAATGGCCATGAGCTAAACCCCAACACCTACAACCAATCCTGAATCAGTGTTAGTGATCTGAAAGCATAAGGTAACTGAGGAATAACTACGGACCACTGCAAAGCGTTTAAAATGAACTACTTCTCTTTTTCACATTTTAAGATGTGAAAATAAGGTACAGGCATTTAACCATAACCAATGTTGAAACGTCTGCATTTACCACAGAACCCTGCCCTCCAGCTCACTGTAAAAGACACCATATTGGGCTGTTTTCTGATGTGTTATAATGTTGCTTCTTCATCAAAAACACACCTGCAGTTGGGTTTTGTTTCATTCACACGTTTAACACAAAAACCAATCAATTTTTATGCTGAGTTTTTATCCCAAACAGAAAAATACTGTTTTTAAACTCTACACTCCTTCACTACACTTCACTTAATTTGGATGATATCAACCCTGGAATTGTCGATCTCTCCTGAACTAAAGGTAAAAGGTAGCTGTACTGCTTCATGACATCACAACTGTTTGCATGCTTTTTTCGAAACGTCCATCAAAGTCTTGTTTAAATGTGTTGCTGAATGGTCAGGGACTCCAGTTTGTAAATGAATTTATCTTGGTGTTACCTTGGACTCCACTTTAACTTTTAAAAAACATGTAAAAAACATATCAAAATTGTAAATTTTAATATTCACGATTTTAGGCAAATTAGATCATCATTGCCATAAAATGCAGCTAAAATGTTTCTCCACAGCAGGATTTTCTCTCACATTGAATACTGCATTACTAACTGGTCACTGACAAGCGTGACAACCTTAAAAATAATAGAATCACTTTTTAAAAAGCGTTAAAGATATTTGATAGGAAATCTTTATCTTTTCATCATTGTCTCATACTACAGAAGTATAATATCATAAGTTTTGGAAATTTTCAAAAATTTAAACTCGCCTGTTTAGTATACAAAGTCTTAAATGGACTCGCTCCACCAGCTCTGGATGAGTTCATTAAGCCCAAGTCCAGCACTAGTGGTCGGGAAACAAGAGCTTCTACAAGAGGCGACTGTGCAAAACCCTATAGACGCACAACTTTCAGTCAGTAGATGTGATCAGTCAAGGAAACAGAAATCTGGAACAACATCCCAGCTGCTATAAGAGACTCCACCACATTCAGTTCATTTAAAACTAATCTGAAACGATGGCTTAAGAGAAACCAGATCTGTAACCACTAATGTTCTGCTCCTATGTAAATGTCAGTGTTGTATGTCATGCTTGTGTGTTTGTCTTTTGTGATGGGTTTTATGTTCTTATGTTCTTATGTTTTATGTCTCTGTCTCTCTGACCTGCCAGGGACTACAGATGAACAGTACCTTCAGGCTAATTCTGGCATATTTACAAGTGTATGTTCATGAATATGCATTGTCCCTTTTAAATAAATAAAACTAAAAACAAGGTGGATTTTGAAATAGTATTTTGAGTTTTGGAGATGTAGACAGACTAATGAAAGATCACTCAAACACGTGTGAATGAAATAAAACACAACTCCAGGTCTGTTTTTGATGAGGTAACTGCGTTCTAACATGGCTTAAAGCTCACAAAAGTAAATTCTGTGTAATATATAGGGCTCTTTATGACCTGGGATAGGCTTCCAGGCAGCACTGGGGGAGCAGAGGTCAGAGTGCACATGCAGGATCTGCACTGGAGCTGTGGCTGTTTTAAAGATGTGCAGGTAGGACAGAAAGAGGTGGGGCGAGAGGCGGGAGCTCTGGGAGGTCAGGAGGTTCTGAAGGGCGGCACTGAGCTGTCCGTCAAGACACAGGAAGAAGGGAGTCAGGTCCAGCACCTGGTGGAAACTGGACACAGGACACACACACCTGCAGGTAAAGCACACACTGGAGGGAGAGTGAAGGAGTGACCAACATGAGAGCAGGATGGCCTTTCACACACTCAGACCATTTTGGAGAACTTGGACCTGCCTCTTTGCTTTATTCTTTGAAAATGTGATAGATACAAAATAATCTTTTAATGCAGGACATGATATGTAATAGCTTTGGTAATCATTGTGAGTGGGCCATAATTACTGTCAACTTCTTGTTCAGTAAATTAAAGATGGAACAATATTTTTGTGTCAATATTTGTCTTTTGTACATTTTCTTTGCACTACTGGCTATTTTTTGAGTATATGATAAGCCTTACCTTAAAGTATACTTTATTTATTGCAGCTCATGATTTTTTTAATCAATATTGTAGATTTAGAATGGTTTGTTAAAATGTGCTCCTGCCTTTTTTAATGCTGTCAAATTACTTTCAGTATTATTGTTTATTGTCTAGATTTACTTCAGCAGTACTTCAAAATTATTGTTCAATCATTTGATTATTGTAATCAAATCAATATATTACAATGATCTGCTAATCCTGTGGCAGTCAAATCAACCTCAATAAGCAGAAAAATTATACATTGTAAGGTAATAAATAAAGAAAAGAATCCTAAGTAAAATGTAATAATGGTAACTACCCTCTGTCTACAAATCAGACACAACATAGTGTCAAACTAAGAGGACTGTTGTATGCATGACTGTATATTTGTAGAAAACCTACATTTTGGGGTCATCAGTCTGGACCACTCGGAGGTAGCGACACAGCTCTTTGTACCTACACAGACAAGAGGATGAAAGCAATTATTTAGGTAACACATAGTCCACTGCAGACAACTGAATGTCTCCATGTGGTCTAACCCGTACGTAGGGGCTGAGTACTAGGGCTGAGGGATATGGCCAAAAAATAAAATCACGCAATTATGATTTTAATCAATTTGAACCAAAGTCAGAGCAGGGACTGCTCGTCTTTCCAACATGGACAGCTCTTTACATATTCATTCTGATCATATGCTCTCATTTAAGACATTGTAAACTTTCAATTACATTTCTATGGATTTGAATAGTTTCAATTAGAATGAGACTTTTTTACAATGACAAATGTTCAATCACACAATAACCCTGCTTTGCAAGTAAGAAAGTCAGGTGTAAACTTTTTTCATAATAATCCTTGATTTCATGATTTAGCAGTTTTTCAAAATCTGGATTATTATAAACACAAATTAATGAATACTTTAGATAAATTGCCCAGGCCAACTTTAGACTCTGTAAACATGTTCTGAAATCCTTATGACTTGAGCGGCTGAATTTGACTAAATTCTTGGTGGTCTAAATGTGTTGCCAATAAATAAAAGTAATAAAGCAAAGAAACGCACACATTTTGTCTGTTGTGGTGTCCATAGTTTTGCCTCAGTGCCACTCGACACTTAAACTGATTTTTGTTTTAACTTAATCTGACTAGAAAGAACTGACTTAGATGGAAATAAAACAGGTGAGCGGATTTGTAAAATTAAACGAGTCTCTTGCACAAATTGTGAAATCAGGCAACAGTTTTTCAATGAGTCTCTCTCACCTTTGTGGTGAAAATCAAACTCCTAAATAGGACATGAACACTTGTATTGATCACTGGCTCCTGAATATGTGTTGTTTAAATCCATTTTGTAATCTCAAAACCTTTTTTGGCAGTGTAATGTGTGCGTTGTGCCTCCACGGTAACTGCCGAACGTTCCACCACAGAGATATATGTAGAACACCCCCAGCGTCGTAATGTCACTGCAAAGCATGTATTGTTGGCGGGCTCCTACCTGCCCTGGTGCTGCAGTTTCTCCGTCCTCAGCTGCACCACAGAGATGTGCTCCAGTAGGACGTCCTTTTTGCCATTTCGCTCTTTACGATAGCCACACACGTTCTGTCCCCGCAGCACCGAGCCCAGCAGCACGTCATCCCACGGACGCACACACAGACTGAGGAGAGAGGAGGAGAGAGGAGGAGAGAGGAGGAGAGGAGGAGTCAGAGGAGGAGTCAGAGGAGGAGTCAGAGGAGGAGTCAGAGGATTGAGGATAAGAAGAGAGAAGAGGAGAGAGGAGGGAGAGGAGGGAGAGGAGGAGACAGGAGGAGAGAGGAGGAGTCAGAGGATTGAGGAGAAGAGGAGAGAAGAGGAGAGGAGGAGAGAGGAGGAGAGAGGAGGGAGAGGACTCAGAGGACAGAGGAGAGAAGAGGAGCGAGGAGGGAGAGGAGGAGTCAGAGGATTGAGGAGGAGAAGAGGAGAGAAAAGGAGAGAGGAGGAGTCAGAGGATTGAGGAGAAGAGGAGAGAGGTGGAAAGAGGAGGGAGAGGAAGAGAGAGGAGGAGAGAGGATTGAGGAGAAGAGGAGAGAGGAGGAGAGAGGATTGAGGAGAAGAGGAGAGAGGAGGGAGAGGAGGAGAGAGGGAAAGAGAGGAATGAAAGAAAAGAGAGAGATGTGGAGGAGAGAAGATGTGAGACAAGAGAGGACAGAAAGAAAAGAGTGGTGATGAAAGAGAGGAGAGAGCAGAGAGAGAGAGGACAGAGAAGAGCGACAAAGAAGATATAAAGAAGAGAGAGAAGAAAGAAGAGAAAGAGGAGATATAGAGAAGAGAGAAGAGATATAAAGGAGAAAGGAGATATAGAGGAGAGAGAGAAGAGAAAGAGAAGAGGCAGAAGAGAAAGAAGAGAGACAGAAGAGAAAGGAGAGAGACAGTGGAGATATAGAGGAGAGAGAGGATATATAAAAGAAAAGAAACAAGATATAAAAAAGAGAGACAGGATAAAGAAGAGAAAGATGAGAGCGGAGAGAGGAGTGGTTCAGTCAGAGTACAGACACGCTGGAGCAGGACGTGGCCCACACTCACCTGTTCTTGAGGCCCTTGAGCTGAGCGGGCAGAGAGAGCTTCTTGTAGAACTCTTGCAGTTTTTGGGTGAATTCTGCGGTGAACTCGCCCATCACCATTTGTCTTTGTAACCACGAGATCACTCTGAAATAACAAGAGCTCAAGTTTAGACCAACACAAGCGCTACTGAATGCAGATGTCGACGTTTGGAGGGCTTGAACCAATGACATGAATCCATCATCATTTTAGACTCATGGCCGCCACACACTACAGGATTTTTCAGTCTTCAACGATTTTTAAACGTGCAACAAAAAGCGCACACCACAGACACGAGGAGAATTTTATGAGACTTAAAATTTCAGATCGGAAAGCCTGCAGCAGGATATGGATTGTGAAATGTGGTGCAATACTTCAGATACTGTATTTTCCGCACTATTGGCCGCTCTGGATTATAAGGCGCACTGTCATAGAAAGGTCTATTTTCAAACTTTTTTCACAAATAAACTGCTCTGGACTTTAAAGGAAACACAACAGTGTGATGGGTGAGTGGTTTTGTTTGTTTGTGGCGTTCACGGTGACTCTGGGCTTTGTTCAGTTGTGGCGTGTAGGGAGGGTGCTGTCTGGGACTGCTGGATTGTTGGCATGTTTGCAGTGGCATATTACACTCGTTTTTTTCGGGTTCGTTCCTTCGTTCTGTTTCTTGTCGGCATGGAGTGATGATTGTGGCTGTGGGTGTGTTTCGCCGTGTGTGATCGCTGTCTGCTCCGTGTGTGTTTGCGTGCGCTGCGGGTGGTGGCTTTGTAGTTTACTGAAGTCGTGCTGGGACACCTGAGTGGATTTGTGTACAGGGCGTTCTGGATTGTGGGGCGCGCAGTCGTTTTTTGATGGGGTTGGAGGCTTTTGAGCACGCTCTATGGTGCAGAAAATATGGTACATGTTTTTTAAAGCTTAAAAGGTTGTATAGAAAATTTTCCAAGGAAAGAGAAATGCAGCATGTTATAACAAAATGTTCCATGGGTGTGATAGATTATAACTACCGTATTTTCCAGGCTATTAGGCGCTTTGGATTATAAAGCGCACTGTCACAGAATGGTCTATTTTCAAACTTTTTTCACAAATAAACCGCAACGGACTTTAAACGAAACACAAGAGTTAGATGGATCAGTTGGACTTTGTTTGGCGGGAGGGTGCTGTCTGGGACCGCTGGATTGTTGGCGTGTTGCAGTGACTCAGTTGATCAGTTGTGAGACCTCTGTCTCTCCTATTGTTTTAACTCCACGTGTGACATCCTGCTCAGGAAGGCCAATGGAAACACGACTGGCCACACCTCAGGAGTCCTGCTCAGGAAGGCCAATGGAAACACGACTGGCCACACCTCAGGAGTCATCACCTTCTCACATTGAAATGTTTGTCCTCTGGTCATCTCATCCTACCGTATTTTCCGGGCTATTAGGAGCTCTGGATTATAAGGCGCACTGTCATTAAATGGTCTATTTTCAAACTTTTTTCCCAAACAAACTGCACCGGACTTTAAATTAAACAACAGTTCAGTGAGTCAGTGGGACTTTGTTTGTGGCGTTCACGGTGACTATGGGCTTTGTTCAGTTGTGGCGTGTAGGGAGGGTGCTGTCTGGTACCGCTGGATTGTTGGCGTGTTTACAGTGGCATATTGCACTCGTTTTTTCGGTTCGTTCCTCTGTTCCGTTCCTTGTCGGCGTGGAGTGATGAGTGTGGCTGCGGCTGTGTTTCGCTGCACGGTCGCTGTCTGCTCTGTGTGTGTTTGCGTGTTCTGCGGCTTTATAGTTTACTGGAGTCATGTTGGGACACCCGAGTGGATTCGTGTATAGGGCGCTCTGGATTGTGGGGTGCGCAGTCGTTTTTTTGATAGGGTTGGAGGCTTAAGAGCGCGTCTAACAGCCTGGAAAATACGGTATATAGCAGACAGAAGCACAATATGTCTTCTTTGCACCGTGTAACTTTTTTGGTTGGGGGTTTGTCACCTTCTTGTTTCTATGGAGATGTTTTGTGATTTTACAGCTCGAAAATACAACGAAAAAAACAGACATTCTGACTGTGAGCGGAGCCACCTCTCCACAGATCTGACCTGCAACTTGGTGTGGTTTGGTCTCCGTGAATACAGAAAGGTTTATCCATTCTGTGAAACATTCCAGACAAAGCAATAACATCTCCATGGACAATAACATTTGACAGACCCTCCACCAGAAGAGTTAAACAACTCACCTTTAAATAAGCTCTTTTTATACATGTATTAAATATCTGAGATTGTTTTTGAAAATAAATATAATTCATTTTTCAACATCGATTCCACCTCTGTACACACACACACACACAACAGTAAGCAATGCCAGTAGAGGATCAGGCAGCAGAGTGGGGTTGTCAAAAGTCTCTCAAATCAGATACTAATCAATACAAAACTAGATACTCATTTGGGCAGGTATCAAAATGGACCTTTCCTGAATGTCTTTTGAATGATCTTGAGCTGTATCAGAAGAAATATAATAGCACATAGACTTGTATATACACATGGACCCACACATGGATACATTATGAAACCTAAAGTACTGTTAGTTAAAGCTGAAAATCACATTCTGTTGTCTAAAAAGTGCTATTGACATTGGCTATCGAGTCTACTCCTTAGTACTGACATTGAGAACTTTTAGAATCGTGACAACACCACTGCATTCAGAATCTAATGAGAATAAGCACATACCTGTTTATTAGTTGTGTTCTTGCTTCAGCAGCGTTAGACATTGGAGTCTGTAGTGTGACCGCGCTGTGGACAGGACAAAACTATGTTAAGAGTCACTTATCAAAGCTACAACAGTCTGTGAGAATCTCCACTACCAGGCAAAAGTCTGGACACAAATTTATCATTTTCTGCACTGTCAACAAAGGAAAGGGTGGATACTCTGAGGATCTGAATATAAAAACAAACAGTTTTTTAAATGTTTTACTTTGCTACATAATTCCATATGTCTTGCACCAGCATTCACACAAACACACAAACACTGAATGAAAAGATGTGTCCAAACTTTGACTTGTTGTTTATAGAGAGAGCTGTACCTAGACACAGGGTAGTGCCTCACAAAGGCCTCTGCAGCCCCCAGAAGCATGATGGCCCCCGCTCTGCTGTCCTGTCTCTCTGCCAGGTCCAGGAAAGAGCCAACACACTCATAGACCGGGGTGTAACTGTAAGGCAACCACACACTCACATACAGGGCTGTACAACTGAATGTTACTGAGATACTGTATGTGCTTTATAACATGGCACTGATACTTACTCATGGACCCTGCCTTGTCCTGTGGAGCAGTATTCTTCTGCTGGTTTCCCTCTCAAATATGTAGAGAATCTGACAGATAGCTCTTCTTTGAATCTCTGCAGCAACATTTCTGAAAATAAAACTATTATAATCAAGTCAAATATGCAAGAGTGTAGTTGCATGCAAATGCATGTTTTTCTAATACTTTACACAGACGGGTAGTCTGGGCCAGAGGTCTTCTTTCAGAGAGTTCCATAGGTTTGAAGTAATTAACTCAACACAAACCTGGTAGCCTATCTGTGTTCCTGAGATGGTATCTGCATGCCTGTGGGTGTGCCTGCGGTGGTACCTGTGTGTATGAGGAGGTACCTGTGTGTATGAGGTGGTACCTGTGTGTATGAGGTGGTACCTGTGTGTATGAGGTACCTGTGTGTATGAGGTGGTACCTGTGTGTATGAGGAGGTACCTGTGTGTATGAGGAGGTACCTGTGTGTATGAGGAGGTACCTGTGTGTATGAGGAGGTACCTGTGTGTATGAGGAGGTACCTGTGTGTATGAGGTGGGACCTGTGTGGTACCTGTGTGTATGAGGTGGGACCTGTGTGTATGAGGTGGTACCTGTGTGTATGAGGTGGTACCTGTGTGTATGAGGTGGTACCTGTGTGTATGAGGTGGTACCTGTGTGTATGAGGTGGGACCTGTGTGGTACCTGTGTGTACCTGTGTGTACCTGTGTGTGTATGAGGTGGGACCTGTGTGTATGAGGTGGTACCTGTGTGTATGAGGTGGGACCTGTGTGGTACCTGTGTGTATGAGGTGGTACCTGTGTGTATGAGGTGGGACCTGTGTGGTACCTGTGTGTGTGTATGGACCTGTGTGGACCTGTGTGGTACCTGTGTGTATGAGGAGGTACCTGTGTGTATGAGGAGGTACCTGTGTGTATGAGGTGGTACCTGTGTGTATGAGGTGGTACCTGTGTGTGTGTACCTGTGTGAGGTGGGACCTGTGTGGTACCTGTGTGTAGGTGGTACCTGTGTGTATAGGTGTGTGGTACCTGTGTGTGAGGTGGGACCTGTGTGGTACCTGTGTGTATGGGACCTGTGTGTATGAGGAGGTACCTGTGTGTATGAGGAGGTACCTGTGTGTATGAGGAGGTACCTGTGGTACCTGTGTGTATGAGGTGGGACCTGTGTGGTACCTGTGTGTATGAGGTGGTACCTGTGTGTATGAGGAGGTACCTGTGTGTATGAGGTGGTACCTGTGTGTATGAGGTGGTACCTGTGTGTATGAGGTGGGTACCTGTGTGTATGAGGTGGTACCTGTGTGGTACCTGTGTGGTACCTGTGTGTATGAGGTGGTACCTGTGTGGTACCTGTGTGTATGAGGTGGTACCTGTGTGTATGAGGTGGTACCTGTGTGTATGAGGTGGTACCTGTGTGGTACCTGTGTGTATGAGGTGGTACCTGTGTGTACCTGTGTGGTACCTGTGTGTATGAGGTGGTACCTGTGTGTATGAGGTGGTACCTGTGTGTATGAGGTGGGACCTGTGTGGTACCTGTGTGGTACCTGTGTGTATGAGGTGGTACCTGTGTGTATGAGGTGGGACCTGTGTGGTACCTGTGTGTATGAGGTGGTACCTGTGTGTATGAGGTGGTACCTGTGTGGTACCTGGTGTGGTACCTGTGTGTATGAGGTGGACCTGTGTGGGTACCTGTGTGTGTAGGTGGTACCTGTGTGTATGAGGTGGGACCTGTGTGGTACCTGTGTGTATGAGGTGTGGACCTGTGTGGTACCTGTGTGTATGAGGTGGTGGTACCTGTGTGTGGTACCTGTGTGTATGAGGTGGTACCTGTGTGTATGAGGTGGTACCTGTGTGGTACCTGTGTGTATGAGGTGGTACCTGTGTGTATGAGGTGGTACCTGTGTGTATGAGGTGGTACCTGTGTGTATGAGGTGGTACCTGTGTGGTACCTGTGTGTATGGTGTGGACCTGTGTGTGGTACCTGTGTGTATGAGGTGGTACCTGTGTGTATGAGGTGGTACCTGTGTGGTACCTGTGTGTATGAGGTGGTACCTGTGTGGTACCTGTGTGTATGAGGTGGTACCTGTGTGTATGAGGTGGGACCTGTGTGGTACCTGTGTGTATGAGGTGGTACCTGTGTGTATGAGGTGGTACCTGTGTGTATGAGGTGGGACCTGTGTGGTACCTGTGTGTATGAGGTGGGACCTGTGTGGTACCTGTGTGTATGAGGTGGGACCTGTGTGGTACCTGTGTGTATGAGGTGGGACCTGTGTGGTACCTGTGTGTATGAGGTGGGACCTGTGTGGTACCTGTGTATATGAGGTGGTACCTGCGTGTATGAGGTGGTACCTGTGTGGTACCTGTGTGTATGAGGTGGGACCTGTGTGTATGAGGTGGTACCTGCATGCCTGAGGTGCGAGTCGATCTCACACAATGTCAGGTTAAAGGTCTGCAGACCTCCGAGCAGGCTGCTGTTCCTCTGGTTGTTCCAGAAGGTGCTCTTCTTGTGGCTGTTGCAGTGACACACTCCACTGGAGCTCCACTCCTTACACTGAGACACATAAGCACTTTACTTTACACTTACACTCCAAATATGTCGGTTGTACAGGTGGGAGGTATTGAATAATGGATATTATCTTAATTATCTTATTGATGTTATTATCTATCAGTGTTCCTTTTCGTTTGCCTACACCAAACTTTGCTTGTCTCCACTCTCATAGGGGTCCACTTCTAGGGAGCGCTGTTGAGTCGTTCATTTCGGGCATTGTCGCAAAATGACCCGACTCAACAGCAGACAATCCCATCACCAGTTGGGGGACTTTTCTCATTGGAGACATTCTCTGATCTGTCAGGCCTTGTTCTTGATGTACTTATGGAGCTTGAAAAACTACAGTTTGGGCCCTCCACACTTAGCGTATTTTCCGCACCATAGGGCGTGTTCTTAAGCTTCCAACCCCATCAAAAAACAACTGCGCGCCCCACAATCCAGAGCGCCCCATACACAAAGCCACTCGGGTGTCCCAGCACGACTTCAGTAAACTACAAGGCTGCACCACCCACAGCGCACGCAAACACGCACACGCAATCAAGATATTAAATTTGGTCAACATTACCAACTCCAAGTCAATTGTCAATAAAAAACACTGAACAGCTACAGTTTACATACACAAACATGATATACTCCTGAGTTTTTTTTGTTTTTTTCATAAACCTGTTTAACTCGTAGCCCTCACACATTTTAAACCAAGTACCAACTCAGAGAATATTTGAATTATAAAATATCTTCAAGACTTCAGAACACAACTTGTTTTGTGCTAAACAGACCCACCTGTGAGGCTAGCTTGTCGCAGATGTAGCAGAAACACTGTTCACACATGAGCTGGTTGTTGTGCACTGGAGCGCTGATCTCACACTCTGTGGCCCTGAACACCACAGCCAAACATATGGTTAGATTTATATACAGTAGGGTTGTCAAAAGTATCAAAAATCAGGTACTAATCAATACTAAAACTACCATCAAATCTAGATACTCATTTGAGCAAGTATCGATACTAAAAAAAGTCATAATCACAATAGTAATGCACCGATACAATACTGATATTGGATAACTGCGCTGATACTGAAAATTTTGGTGGATCAGATATCGGTTCCAAGATATCAGTTCTGGGGATATCTCATTTTGATCATTAATGTAATAAAGATGATTTACTGCCCAATGTTGACCAAATATCTTGTATTTTAACAAACCCATTCTGTGATTACTTTAAATGACAAATCAGTTAGATCGGTGCATCTCTAATTAAAGGTTGTATAAAGGATTTGTTAAGGGAAGAGAAATACGACAGTCCTTTTTCAAATGTTGTGCATGCGTGACACTACCTTCCTCCTCCACAGCTCCCCCAGTAGAAACATCTCCTCTAGAAATAACGCTTGTTTACAGCCAGTACATGTTCAGAATTACTGTTGAAGTGACCTGTCTAGAAATAATTTAGCGACTGACACCTCAGTTTTTAGATGCTTTGTCTGCTTCAGTCACGCAATCGCTGAAAGAAATCTCCAAGAATCACCACAGTGTGTCATCGCTCCTTTTCCCCTCCTCTTCTTCTTTCAGTGACCTCAAAAACGGACTTTCTTTGGCAGCGAACTGGTGGTGGATTCTTGTCCGCCATCGCAACAAACTTTGTGCGAATTGCGAGGAAGCTACAGTTTGAAAAAGCCTCTAAGAACCGCTGCATAAACCACATAATCCCTGCGCGCTAGCGAGTCACTTACACTAGAAACATAGGAGGTTTGATTGACAACCTAACAGCCAATAGATAAAGAGGGAGCCTTGTTATCTATTGGCTGATGTTTATCTGGAATCACTACATCCACAGTTGATAGACTTTCATTCTTTTTTTTTTTGGTCATCATAATTACAAGGCTGTTGCATCTCTGTAATGATATTTTAAACTTTCATTGACAATTTGAAGCAAAAAAAAAAAAAAAATCCTCCATACAACCTTTAACAGGACAGAAATGAACCTTTCCCGAATAGTTTAAAATGATCTAGAGCTGCATCAGAACAGTGCGTGCGTACATAAAGGGCTGGATGGGGCAGTCGTAGCGAGCGTGGGGCAGTATGTCAGCGCGCCGAGAGAACGTCACCACCAAGTCCTCCTCCACGCCACTGCTGCATAATATCAAGTCTGAAATAAAGGAAATGAGGAGTTTGAGGGTTCTTCGGAGAGGGTAGAGTAGCCAAAAATTGTACTTGTGTAATATTATTTTGAAGTAACGTCATTCTTATTTAAAGGTACCTTGTGAAACATTCTAGTGGAGGGTCCGTCACATGTTTGTCTCCATGGAAATTGCTTTGTCTGGAATGTTTCAAGGTATGGCATTAAACCTTTCTATCTTCATGGAGACTATTCTAGACCAAGTTACAGGTCAGATCTGTGGAGAGGAGTCCCCGTTCACAGTCAGAATGCCTGTTTTTCTATTTTATAAAACCATTTGTAATTGACGGTAGAGCTGTTTAAAGTCATACTGTGGAACGTTCCAGGCAGAGCAATGACATAACCATAGAAACAAGCAGGTGGCGGACCCCCTACTGAAACGTTAGTGCTGAAAATCTGGTATTGTCAAAGGACAGACACAAAAATTAGACAAACAAAATCTGAAGGAAAGCTGCAAAAAAACACAAATGTTCAAATCATTTTATATTGTCAAAATAAAGCTTTTGTCACTTGTAGACTTAGAGTGGGAAGAGTGACCACAACTTCTACTCAAGAATACAGTTACTTCAATTACAATATTATTCAAGTAGAAATAAAGGTATTCTAAAAAGTATAATTTCTTTAAAAAGTTAGTCACAAGAATATTAATTATCCTAACAACCCAGTGTTCTCCATTTTACAGAAAAGTATTGCTTTTAGTGCTGTCATGCGATTAAAAAAATTGAGAGATTAATTCATTATGATCTGTAATTAATTAATCTAATTAATCTCATTTTAATCTCACCTAAAAATTGCTGAGAAAAACCTTCAATTTGAGGTATTTTCATTTAAATTAATTATTACATTATGGTGGCAGATCAAAAGACTAATATAGAAGAAAAAAAAGTGACTTTATAAAGTCATTTATTGTTTAACAAATGTCTCCAAATTGGCTGTTGAGCCCAAGTCTCCATGAATAAGAAACTGTTTGCTGTAAAGTAGCAAAGACGAGGAAATCTGAACATAATAACTTTTGTCTACTTAAAGACAATAAAAAGTCCAGTCTTTCCTTAACTATATTAAAAATATTATTGATAGAGAAATACTTTATATATGAGATCACTGGATTTAGTCCTGGTTTAGACCTGGTTTAGACCTGCTTTAGTCCTACTTTAGTCCTACTTTAGTCCTGGAATGGATTAATCCTGGTTTTAGTCCTGGTGTTAGTCCTGGTGTTAGTCCTGGTGTTAGTCCTGGTGTTAGTCCTGGTGTTAGTCCTGGTGTTAGTCCTGGTGTTAGTCCTGGTGTTAGTCCTGGTGTTAGTCCTGGTGTTAGTCCTGGTGTTAGTCCTGGTGTTAGTCCTGGACTGGATTAGTCCTGGTTTTAGTCTTGGTGTTAGTTCTGGTTTAGAGGTGCACAGGAGGAAGCGCGGTTTACGCAGCGTACGCCAGAAAACACGATCCACACGCGGCTCACGGGAGCACGTCGGTGTCCGCGCAGTAACTACGGAAGGAAACGTGGTCCGTGCGTTCTCAGGTTGATGACGATGATGAAGATGTGTGTTTGTGTGTGTTTGTGTTTGTGTGTGTTTGTGTGTGTTTGTGTGTGTTTGTGTGCGTGTCCCCTCATGTGGCAGGTCACTATAGGACAGTAGTGCAGACATCATGAGTCTATGCAGGTTGTTTTCACCAGTAACATTTAAGTTGTAGGCAATATTATATTTGTTATTTTCTTTTATATTTTATGTCGGGAGAATAATTTCCAAGACACAAATGTGTTGTTGTCCCAACAACACATAAAAACAGGTTTTATAATAAAGCAACTCACATACAGAAACACTAAAGTTAGAGATTAAAAATGAGATTAACGCGATTAAAAAACATAACGCGCTAAATATGACTGTAATTAATTAATCGCAATTAACGCGATAATTTGACACCCCTAATTGCTTTTAAACGTAAAATGGAGAAAAAGGAAGATTTTAATCATGGTTTTCTTTGTTTGATCTTGGTTTAGTCAGTGTTAAGTTTTTCCATCCATCCATTTTCTTCCGCTCATCCGGGGTCGGGTCGCGGGGGCAGCAGTCTAAGCAGGGACTCCCAGACTTCCTTCACCCCAGTGTTAAGGTTTTTTGTTTTTTTTTGACACTGTTTGACTACTAAATAAAGGAAAGTAAATTGTTTTTATTTAAATAGGTGGTATTTTAGACTTCTATGGGGTATTACCTGCTAACACATAACATATTTAGATCACCATGTTACTGTTTATTGTTTTGAAAAAGCTATATTCACCAAAAACTAAGTATTCAAATGTCTTATAGGTTTTAGTTTTGTTTTTGGTGCTCTGTGTACCCCAGAGAGCTATCACACAATCAGGGTGTGTTCAAAATGAAGCTACTACACATCCCATCAGGTTTATCAAGTGTATTGTACAGTTTTGTATCATGTCTTTGTATATTTATGGAGAATTGCCGTGTGGGAGCATGGGTGACGTAGGAGGCCTCTAACAGGGCCAGGGAGCAATCGTGAAAATATTGAAACCTGCATATGGATGACATAAAAAAACACTTCAGACATTTTTTGATGAGGAAACAACGTTATAACATGATGATCGATTTTGCATAATATTCCCTCTTTAATGTCAAAATATCACAAAAATGTCATTATCACAATACAAAAAATACAAATATTGTGTGTTTTTTTCATATCGTGAAGCCCTATTGATTAGTATCTGGACATTTATTTTATGACAACACTAGTTTGTAGAGATGCCAAGGACAGATTTTTATAGTTTTCTAATTCTGACTTGGTTTGGTGGGATAGTGTCTGTGGTAAAAAAAATAAATAAATAAAAATCTTGTCTGTTAAAACACTCATTTGACAAAATAAAGGTGTTGTCATATCAAATACAGTAGTGACTATTGTATGAATTAGACAAGCTGTGGCCATCGTCTGCAGTATAGGTGCAAGGGAACACTTACATGCATAGCACACTCATGAGCACCTGGGCTGGTAACTATTTTGTATACTGTGGTCCAAAGCAAGGAAAATGATCTGATGAAGGCTTTTTACTGAAACGTAATTTAAAAATTAGAAAAACCTTTTGGACATCGGCCATCTGAGTGCGCTATGCAGTTTTTTCACTTTTAAATTGCTGTTCCTTGGATTTGCACAAGAACTTTGGTGTGCGTTTTCTGTTTCATGTCAGCACTTAGTATGTCACATCTGCTATTCAAGTAAAATTCAACAAAATTGTTCAACTACAAAAAGCAAGCAAGGCAAGATTTCTTTTGCAAAGTGTAACTTGACATATGCACTTTGAAAGGTTCTATATTATGTACAATTTTACTCTTTTGAGCTTTTAGTCATATTATAATGCCATTACATCCTCAAAAACAGACCTGGGGCTGTGTTTTGTTTCATTTACACATGTTGGAGTAACCCGTTATTAGTTTGTCTTAAAGTACTAAATATTTTGCTCCACCTTGTGATGTCATGGATGTCATGTGGTGGTAGCTTTCAAGTTAACAGCTTCCTTTTACCTTTAGTTCAGTACAGATTTGCAATTCCAGGACTGAAATTCTCAAAATGTTTCATGTGAAGGTGAAGTAAAATTTAAAAACACAGGGGAACACTTCCTGTATTACCAAATGACATCACAAGGTGGAACAGAGTGTTTTCCATTTGAGATAAGACTAACTCAACCTAATTATGCAGGGTTTGTGTGTTAAACATGTGTGATGGAAACAAAATACAACTCCAGGTCTGTTTGTGATAAGGAAACTACATTAAAACATAGATCAGAAAATAGTGTAATGTGGGCTTTTTAAATGATCAGTTTGCTAATCGTGATTATTCAAATGATAATTTCAATCTCATTCTGATTAATCCTGAAGACCTATTTAACCTTACATAATGACATCAAACTTCCACAGGAGTAGGTCACACAGATCTTTACCATTCTTGTGAACAGGCTCTGCCTCCACAAACAGCACAGACACCTCTTCTTCCTTTGGCTCATCTTCATCACTCGATACGATAATGACCTCCACACTGTCCATTGCGGTGCACATCACACGTCTGCTTCAAGAGAAACAGAAAAAGCATTACAACCACATAGGGATGGGAAGCTTTAATTATGAATTTCCCTGAACTTCTCATTATAGTTTGAGAGAAAAACTAAATCTGCAGGGTTTGTTTGTTAAACATGTGTGAATGAAACAAAACACAACTCCAGGTCTGTTTGTGATAAGGAAACAACATTATAAACAGTGTTGGGAAGGTTACTTTTAAAATGTATTTCCCTACAAATTACAGATTACATACCCCAAAATGTAGTTTGTAACGTAATCCATTAAATTACTTAAAGTGAGTAACGTAATCTAAATACTTTGGATTACTTGATTTTCTGTAGAGTAGCAAAGACTAGGATATCGTAACATAAGATGTTTGTCTGCTAAAACACAATGAAAAGTCCAGTTTTTACTTAACCAAATTACAAATAGACTGACTGAAGAGGAGGAGACACAGTCAGTGTGGCAGGGTTTAGTCCTGTTAAATCCTGTTTGAGACCTGGTTTAGTCCTGGTTTAGTCCTGGTTTAGTCCTGGTTTAGTCCTGGTTTAGTCCTGGTTTAGTCCTGGTTTAAACCTGGGTTAGACCTGGTTTGGACCTGGGTTAGTCCTGATTTAGTCCTAGTTTAAACCTAGTTTAGACCTGGTTTAAACCTGGTTTTAGACCTGTTTTAGACCTGGTTTAGTCCTGGTTTAATCCTGGTTTAGTTCTGATTTAGTCCTAGTTCAGACATACTTTAGACCTGGTTTAGACCTGGTTTAGAGTCCGGCAATGAATTACCGAAAAAAACAAAACAAACAAAACTAGAAAAGCACTCAGAGAGCGCAGACCTCCGCCAAGGACTACCCCCATTTTTTATATAAATTGCGATAAAATCAGTCTTCTGGATCAGATCCGGATCAGCCTTTGGAATATGAAAGAGGATCCCATTGTCCATCCCTGAGTCAAATTTCATGGGGTTTGGTCAATAATTAACCGAGATATTGGGAAACAACATTTTTGGTCCCATTTACCACAATGTTAACTAAAATTTCAAAGTGATCCAGAATCCAGGATTTCTTCCGGATCACCCCCAAAATGAAATCAGTTCTTCCTTTTCACATTTCCAACAAATCCTGAAAATTTCATCAAAATCGGTCCATAACTTTTTGAGTTATGTTGCTAACAGACAAACAAACAAACAAACAGACAAACGCCGGCAAAAACATAACCTCCTTGGCAGAGGTAATAAAAAAGGACATAGCCCAAAATGTGAAAACAGGAAAATACCACTTACTTAAACAGTAACTGTAACTGAATAAAGTTACTCATAATTTGTACTCCGATTACGTAACTCTGGTACATGTAATCCATTACTCCCCAACTCTGATTATAAAATATAAAACTGCAAAATATGGGCCCTTTAACTCAATCAAGCCTGTCAGGTCACAAGTCAGATCTGTGGAGAGGTGCTCCCACTCACTGTAAAAGAATGTTTTGTGTTTTTTCATGGTATTTTGAACAATAAAAACACCTGTAATTAAATACAGTAAAAGGATGATACATAAATTTAATGCCATACTGCGGAATATCCACTAATGATGGACTTCTCACCTTTAAATTTTCTGTATAGACAGGCTACTACACCTGCAAAAAGAGTGTATGACATTGTGGGATTTTCACGTCCATATTTCAAAATAAAATAAAATGATAAAACGAAATACACAGATGGCAACTAATTCAGTGTTTGATTGGTTCACCCTGGTTTAAATCTGGTCTAGTTTTAGCCCATCCAGGATTGATTTAACTCTCATTTGGTGCTGTGTTCTTCGCTGAGCAGTAAATCAGTAACACCAGCTACTTAAAACGTATGACAACTTCATAAAAAGCAAAATGAACGCTATTACACACAGCCCAAAGTTTTAAAAGGCATCTTCCTGTCTTTAAAACTCGATGATTTTGCGCGACATGTCATTGTTAAACACAATGACATGTGTTAAACACAATGACATGTCGCGCAAAATCATTACGACTTGCTAAACTTTGTAAAAAGAACACTAGATTGTCTCTATAATGAAGTTTTCTTACCTCTAAAGCTACAAATCTTCAGTCGAATTCAAGTAAACAGGAGGAATGTTTCGCGCGCGGAGCCCGAACTCGCACCGGAAATGGCGCAGGGTCTTCCGTGTGTCTCGATGTAAAAAAAATAATACTAATATTAATAAATAATACAAATAATTATATGTATATATAATTACCATGACGAAAAATCTAATAATAATAATAAAAATAAAAATAATTAAAAAGTGTGTCAGAATGTGCTTTCAGTTTATTGTTGTTCGTGCTTGTGTCGAGGGTTACGGACACAATGCACCTATCTTTTTTTGACTTTATTTTATTTTATTTATTTTTTAAGAAATTGTACTTCTACACTATACGTTTAGTTTGCTTATTTGCTATTCTATTATTATATATATATTCATATTTAGGAGGACACACAACTAAATATTGCTAAAATGCAAATTTTGTGGTAATACAGCGAGTTGTTGGATCTAGTCAATAACAGAAATAATTCAACATTCGTGCATTTACCCTGTGGATATTTCATGGCAAAATACAGCGTAATCCTGTTTTTGCCCCCATGTGGAAGTATAACATCATTACATTCTATAATTTGAAATTTGAACTGAACTCAAATGAAAACTACTAATAAAGTTATTGTTATAAATTCTAGTAAATTCATTAGCAGCTCAGGGTTCAGGGTTATGCTGTTACTTCTGGCTTAACTGCTGTAATTCAGTTCATTACCTAATGTTACTTATTTAAGTCAAGCAGAAGTAAACAGCAAGGCCAAAAATTCAAGTTAATGCATCTGATATAAAACTGTATTGAACAGATACATATGTACCATTTTTGGTTCTAAAGTTATATACGTTTTAAACAGACCATGTATGAAACATGGAACAAAAATTATTTCCCAAATTTCAAAGACCTGCAAATCATGTTAATAAATTGATGTATTTCATCATATCTGTGTTATTTGATCTTTGAACTGCTGATGAAGGTACATGATTTTTCAAAATAAATCTATTTAAAATGATAAAAATTTGCTTGGAAGGACTGACATATTTTATAGAAATAGTTACCTTTCATTTTGAAGTAATATTAAAGTATTCGGAAGAAAAATGCTGACAAATTATGCAAAATCATGCACCTTCAACTTGCTCACACAATTTTCCCTCCGTTACTTAATAAAAAAAATCTCATTACTCAAAAAGTAAGAGATTTTTCAACCTAATCTTGTATCATATGGTAGAAAACTATATGAAGCAAATATTTAAACCAGTTTGTTAAGGATATGTAAGTGAGAACCGCTAGTTATCACTGTTTGAATTTATTGCCCAAAAAGTGCTGCATATTTCATTCCCTCTGTTACTGACATGAGTTTTTAAATTTTTTGTCAACAACTTGAAAGAATATCACAGGTTTAACTTTACCCTGTTGGAGTGTTAACTCTTTCCTACATTCTGATACTTTACTTATTTCAATAGTCCCTCTAGTTTCTGAATAAGAGACATTTGAATGTAAAAAAAATATGCCCGTTTCCCTCCGTTACCACTTGACTGGACCCATCTATGAAAGAGATTACCAGATGAAAGGATAGACAGAAAGATACAGGAAAGGACATTGTAGGAGCTATTTGCTTATTTTATTGATCCTAAAATTCGTTTTTTTTTGTTTGTTTAGTTAGCTTACTAATTTAGTTTTGTTAATTTGTATAATATATTTTTGCTATGTTAATATTATTCTTGCTAATTTCTTAGTCTAAGTTGGTATTATTTACGTTAGCACCTCTTTTTTGTTTTTGATTTAATTTGGGTCACCTAGGGGATAAAGGAGGGTGGTACACATGGAGCAGAGTGCACCTGGGTGGGCCTGTGAGGAGAGGCAGCAGGAGTAGGCCTTAAACATGTATTCCTTGTTGCTTGCCAAAAAACTGGAAAATAAATCTTGGAAAATCATCTCTAGTCATGGACATTGATTTGTACTGCGTAAACCACATACCCATGGTGCCCAAAGGAGATTATTTGAGTTTGGTTCTGAGGTTGGCCACGCTTTTGTTTGTTGCTTTTATTTGACAAATAGTCACTACAGACATTAAAGCTCCTCAAATCCATTCAAGTGTCCTCAAGTGACCAGAGTATTGTTTGGTACACAGTCTACAGATATTTCCAATAGTTAGGACTTTCACGTTACCATTGGTTTTGTTAAGTGTAAACATAAGAGAAGACAGAGGATGATGATTCAAAGGTCAGCAGTTGTATTCCAGCTCCCACAAGTGCTGTTGTGTCATTGGGCAGAACACTTCTTACCTGTCTCGCTGTCAGTGGCTACGGTGCACGGTTGTGTGAATGTAAATGGTTGGTGAGTCTATTAGACCTGTCCTTACGCGCTTCTAGAATGCTTGAATTTTAAGGTACTGCATTAAGACATGGCCTATTTCAAATCAAAAATAATTTCATGTAGTGGAGGAAAGGGTTGAGTACAATTATATGGTAAAAATATACACTAGTACTGCCGCGCTACATAGTACATAGACTCTAAAGTACTAGCTACAGTTGATTGCAATACAGGTCCTATAATATGCAAATGTGACTCTTGTGAGCTTTAAGCCCTGTTATAATGCTGTTACGCTTTGTTTTGTTTTTTTTGTTGCATTCACAAACTTCTGAGATATCCTTTGATTAGTCTGTCTACATCTCCAAAGCTCAAAATGCTCCTTGTGATGTCATGTAGTGTTAGTTTTAGTTCAGTAGAGGTTGGTAATTCCATGGTTGAAATTATCCAAATAGTGAAGGTGTGTGGAGTTTCAAAACACATCGGAGCACTTCCTGTATTACCACGAGATCACAAGGTAGAACAGAGTGTTTGTGTGTTAAACATGTGTGAATGAACAAAGCTCAACTCCAGGTATGTTTTTGATGAGGAAATATAACATAGATCAGAAAATAGTGTAATATGGGTCCTTTGTGTAATATGGGTCCCCCTTACCATTTCAGGCCATCTTTGTGAAATTGCTTTTGCTCTGACCTCTCTAAACTAAAATGATAGCCATTATTGAATCCTGGTTTGCATATACACAAGTTTGGGGTTTTTATACACTTTTGAACACACATAAAATATGATTTTTCTCACCCTCGCCTAAATTTTTTTTAATTAAAATTAAGGTGTAGAAAGCTGTAGGTAGCTGGAGACTGAAAAACCCTGTATTTCAATTGAAAACAATGTTGACCTCTCACATTTCAAATTTGATTAGAGTATCTATAAAAATGAGAATTTGAGATTACTTTTATTATCCAGGTGTTTTACAGAGACTTCTGCTTTATCCAAATCTATATAAACTATAGTCATAACAAAATTTAAACAAACACAAACGGCAAACTGTAAAAACACTTCGGTTTCTTCTATCGTTTTTGTTCTGTGTGCCAATCATTATAGCAGTCTCTTTGTGGCTGGAAGCACAGGGGCACATCACAGGTAAAGCATTTTACAGGTGTTTTAGAATGACACTTCCTGCATTTCAGCCTGCCTTGTGTCTTGTCACCACTTGGGATGATGTGCACAAGACGATGATGCCTCTCCACCTGACTCTCATCATCCTGCTGTGGTTTGATGGCTCCTGCCTTCGCCAGCTCCAAGACAAGAGTTTCTCTAAATGCCTTTTGTGCCATTGGGATTTCTCCCTTTGATGTGCAATTTTCTTTATAAAGAATGAAGGCATTTACTACGGCAATGTCCACATAATGGTAAAAAAATGTCTTGTACCATTTCTTTGTTTTATGCAAAACCTCAAAATATCCGATGAGTGCATCTGACAGGTCAACACCACCCATGTGCCTAAGGAAAAACACAAATACATTAGCAAAAAGCAAGTACAAAACTCAGAGGGGATGAAGCAATAATATATCATATACATACTTGTTATAGTCCTTAATGGCTGGTGGAATGGACACATCTTTCATAGTCCATCGGCCTGCATCATCCTTCACTCTGCGCACCACTCTGTCGTCTCCATGGGCGGTGTGCATGGTGGAGCAGATGAACACATCACGAGTATCTCTCCACTGCACAAAGAGCAAGGGGTTTTCCCGAATCCACCTTATACTGCCACGGGGAGCTCTGGAGTCCAGCATATTTTCTGTAGTCTTGGGGAATCCTTGTCTGTTTGTTCTGATGGTGCCACAGGCTGACACTTTTTTCTGCATAAGATCACGAAATAGAATGGGGCTTGTATAAAAATTATCTACGTAGAGCTTATAGCCTGTGCCCAGTAAGGAAGTGTCCAAAAGGTTCATAACTGAGTCATAACTCAACCCATTCTTGCTTGGTTGAGAGTTTTTGCCCTCAGAAACAAAAAAGTCCCATGTATAGCCTGATTTTGAATCTGCTAGAACAAACAACTTGAAGCCCCATCGTACAGGTTTGTTTTTCAAGTATTCTCTTGCCTTTGAAGCCACCATCCTCTCATCAATAGCAATATGCTGACGAGGCTGGTAATTCCGGCGGCATGCTTCTCTCATCTCGGTGTACAATGGCTTGATCTTGCACAAGCGATCAAACTCTTCAGTGCCTCTTTTTCTTTCATTTTTGGCATCATCTTCTGGACTACTCAAGTGGAGAGCACGGATGATAGAGAGAAATTTCTTTCCAGTCATAACTGATTTTGGGAACGGTAGGCTGTACAACTTCTCCAATAATCAGCAAGTGAAGGTTCTTTTGTGATTCCCATGTATAGAACAAGTGCCAAAAATGACTGAATGTCTTGAAGTGTAATGTTCGTCCATGCTTTGTATGCTGATCGGCCATGTGCATTTGTGTTTCTTATTAGTGTTGTTAACACAGTCCCAGTAAAAAACAGATAGAATAGATCCAGACAAGTGTAGTCTTTAGTGCGAATAAGTTGGGGTCCGGGAGTACGTGTAGGACAAAAGGGGAAGGAGGTAGGTGTGATATCAGCAACCTTAGTAGAATTCCAACTGCTCTTTGAAGGTGAAGACTGGTGTCTTGCACCATGATCCCTTCCTCTTTCTCTGCCGCTGCCCCTCCCCCTTCCCTTGCCTCTTTTTTCTGTTCTCTCAATCCGAGGAATCTTTATGGGGGGAGAACTTGGTTCACATTTAACTGCAGGCACTGAAGTCAGTCTAAAATGAAAACAATAAAAGCATATTATAATACTATAACTTATTTGTAAACAGTAAGTGCTAGTATACAGATTACTGCACAGACATGTTTGTATTCCTGATAGTATTCAACACTACTTGCCTCACTCCCCCACAAGTTGGAAACATTCACACCACATTCCCATCTTGCAACTAACTTCATTCCAGCATTGTATACCCCTAATGTAGTCTTATACAGTAACAAATGCACTTAAAATACATAGTATTTATTGATCAAATAAAATCACTTACTCAGGGATATCCATTTCCATATGGACCTTTGCCAAAATTTCAGGATCTAGTTCCCAATCAGGGTCAGAGTCATTATACCTGTAAAACAAAGAATAGTGTTTATTTTCCATTATAAATGCCTTATAAGCTTATTGTTCCACCATGTATTATCTGTATACTCGTTTAACTCTGGGCCTACACGCCTGGAAATACAGTAATTAGAGATCCGAAGCAAAAACGCATTTTATATTTAAGTACAATAACATCGATAGAAGAAAAAAAAAAAAAAAAAACACTTACCGATCAAGAACAACATCCATTCCATCTAAAAACATTTCTTCTTCCACCGAGTCCACCGAGGACACTTCACTTTCTGCTTCTGATAGCTCCTGATCCGAGGTGTCACTGAGGCGGAGAGTATAGATATCGGCAACATTCATGGAAGTTACCGAAAGTCTCCTCTTTTCTGCCCGTTTCGCCATAATTACCACACAAAAACAATGCGCAAAAAGTGAGATTTACGCACGGAGCCTTCTGCATGGATCTGGTCTCCACGCTGTACTTCTCCCTCTTTTATTTTCTGTGTTTGCTTCTTCCCCTTGTGGGCTTTTATTGGCGTTTGGCAAACAACTACTGATGCATTAGCGCCACCAACCGATAAGGAGTCTGAACTTAAAGGCGACTTACTGATAACAAATAACAAAAGTAAAGTAAAATAAAATAAAAAAATAAAATAAAAAAAAATAAAATAAAAAAAATAAATAAATAAGATAAAAAGAATAACAACAGTGATCAAATAATAACTAAAGCAAAATAATGAATTAAATCCTGTTAATCAATTTAATATCACAAAATTCCTCATTGCTCCCACTTTTTTCTGAATTTTACGATACCAACGACCTCTCCTCTCGATATTTCATTCTTTTTGCTATTTTTCCTTTATCTTCTGTTTAATTTGAGATTTTAGCTCCATTTTCAGTGGAGTTTTATTGGCGTTTGGCAAAGAACTACTGATGCATTAGCGCCACCAACCGATAAGGAGTGTGAACTTAAATGCGACTTACTGATAATAACAAAAATTAACTTAAATTAAAAGAATAACAACAGTGATCAAATGATAACTAAAGCAAAATAATGAATTAAATCCTGTTAATCAATGTAATACCCCTGAGGAACTTAAATAAAACTTTGAAACTACTATTCCCCGGGTGCTGCTACAGCAATTCCACCAAATCAAATTTAATTTTTAGGTCCTTGATCCCTTTCTTCATTGAATTTCTTTCCTCTGTATATTTTCTAAACTCCATCAACGCTTGTTCTATTTTATGTAGAGTATAGTTTAATCCTAAATGTCCAATTCTTAACATCGAAATGAGCATGTCTGTTTTCATGTTTCTGTTTTTTTTTTTTTTTTTTTTTTTTTTTTTTTTTTTTTATGGTACCAACGACGTCTCCTCTTGATATTCCATTCTTTTTGCTATTTTATTTATTTTTTAATCTGTTTAATTTGAGATTTTAGCTCTATTTTCAGTGGAGTTTTATTGGCGTTTGGCAAATAACTACTGATGCATTAGCGCCACCAACCGATAAGGAGTGTGAACTTAAATGCGACTTACTATTAACAAAGAATAAAATTAAATAAATATATAGGTAAATAAGTAATACTAACAACAACAGCGATCAAATAATAACTAAAGCAAAATAATGAATTCAATCCTGTTCAAATTAATATTTCTAACAAACTTAAATAAAACTTTGAAACTTCTACTGTACTACTCTGGCTCACTAGGAAATTAGGTCCTATGTCCAAAATTCCGCACTGTCCCTTTAATACTAAACTAAATACTCTACTGTTCTTCCAGTTACATCAACATCAAATTATAAATCAGATTCCCCCAAATACATTTTACTTCTACACAATTTCTTAGACCTGTGGTGGAAATTTGAGTATTGGGTGTTGTTCTTTTCATTGTCATTGTGTGTTGTTGTACACTATAAGAAGTGTTAAAGCCACACTATTCTTTGTCTAATCCTCTCTCTCCCGGGGAGGCTCTATGGACCTTTGGGTTTTTCATTTACATGTCTGCAGTTTGTTTCACATGTTAAGTGTCTAATCGTTCTACCTGTACTCAGATGTTAATGTGAAGGCGATACTTTTAATGGCCAAACAGACTGACCTAAATGCAAATTGTTCTTGGGGAAGGGCTTGGACCTCAAAGTATTTAAGTGTTGTTAATGTTGAAGAAACTTACCTTTTCCTCTTGTGTTTGTTAGTTTCTGCTTAGTGGTAATTGCACTTATTGCCAGACTCTAAACCTGGTCGAAACCCAGGTCTAAACCCAGGTCTAAACCAGGTCGAAACCAGGATTAAACCAGGATTAAAACCAGGTCTAAACCAGGTCCAAACCAGGTCTAAACCAGGACTAAAACCAGGTCTAAACCAGGTCTAAACCAGGACTAAACCAGGCCTAACCAGGATTAAACCAGGATTAAAACCAGGTCTAAACCAGGTCCAAACCAGGTCTAAACCAGGACTAAACCAGATCTAAACCAGGACTAAATCAGGATTAAACCAGGTCTAACTCAGGATTTAACAGGACTAAATCATGCTGCATGCACCATGTTTCCTCCTCTTCTATCAATTCTATTTTTAATTTGGTTCAGTAAAGTCTGGGCTTTTTATTTTCTTTTAGCAGACAAAATTTCTTCTGTTACGATTTCCTCGTCTTTGCTTCTCTACAGCAAATCAAGTAATCCAAAGTATTCAGATCACGTTGCTCACTTTAAGTAATTTAATTGATTCCGTTACAAACTACATTTTGGGGTATGTAATCTGTAATCTGTAGGGGAATACATTTTAAAAGTCACCTTCCCAACACTGTGAACATGTGACCTACACCTATGACATTAAATGTGCACTGTGACATCTGTCTCAAGTTTGACCTGATGAAGCTAAAGAGCCAAAACGTATTGGCGTGGTTTTAACTTTACCTGCCATTAAAGGCTTTTCATTTTGTACTTTTTGAGTGCCTCAATTTTTTCTACTCTTTAAAGAATTTCCACCACAGACCACTACTTTGTACTTCTTGAGTAATATTTTAAAGTAATCAGTGTTGGGAAGGTTACTTTTAAAATGTATTCCCCTACAGATTACAGATTACATATCCCAAAATGTAGTTTGTAACAGAATCCATTAAATTACTGAAGGCGAGTAACGTAATCTGAATATGTTGCACTCTTAAATAATCCAGGCGAATAGTTCCGTTTTGCAACGTTTATTTTATCAAAGCGGTTCATTACATGCGAGGCACGCAGGGCTACAACACCTGAGCGCAGTCCACACTCACAACACCTGGATGGGCGTGTCTGACCTACTTTTATAGCTGGACCCCCAACTATTGGCACCACCCATTTCCTGGCTGCTCTCGATGCTACAGTGTATTAATTACATTCAAATTTAATAAATTAACAGTGCATATACTGTAATTGATAAATACTACATAATTTTACATGCCATCAAAACATATTATATAGATGGGCTACAAATACTTTAGATTACTTGATTTGCTGTAGAGAAGCAAAGACTCAGACATCATGACATAAGATGTTTTGTCTGATAAAAGCCAATAAAAAAGTCCAGACTTTACTTAACCGTATTAAAAATATTGATAAAGAGACACGTCCACGCAGCCTGATTCAGTCCTGTTAAATCCTGTTTTAGTCCTGGTTTAGTCCTTGTTTAGACCTGGTTTGGTCCTGGTTTTAGACCTGGTTTAGATGTAGTTTAGCCCTGGTTTAGTTTCCAGCAATGAGTGAAATTACCAGAAAACTGTAATCCATTTATTTCAACCAGTCTCATTAAACTCATTAAAACAGTAACTGTAACCAAATAGTTACTCATAATTTGTACCGATTACGTAACTCCGGTACATGTAATCCATTACTCCCCAACAGTGAAAGTAATGTTAGTTTTTTCACTAGTATTCAGGTTGAAAATGCTAAAAAAAAAAAAAAAAAAAAAAGTGCCTTGTGTTTAAATTGATCATTTTACACCATTTTTTGTTTAAAAAATGTACCTGGAGTTGTGTTTCATTTCTTTCACTCCTGTTTAACAAATGAATTCTGCATATTTAGGCTCTCAAACTGAAAACACTGTTCCACTTTGTGATGTCATATGGTAATAAACATGAAGTCTTCCACAGTTTTCAAACTTCTTACACCTTCACTGGAATCATTGGGTAATTAATGTTGGAACTGCCCATGTTCACTGAACTAAAATGTAGCTGTTAACTTGAAGACCACCATATGATGTCACAAGGTGGACTAGAGCTTGAGATGTAGAGACTAATGTGAAAGAACAACTCCAGCTATGTTTTTGATGAACATTACAGCACTTTCAGCTCACAAGAGTAAATTTAGTGTAATACTTATGGATTTCAGCTTGTCATAGTTGCCATTTGGAGGACTTTATCAAAAGACATTAGTTTTGTTAATTGCTATAGTAACTGTCCCAATTTTTTGCTACTCACTTCTGAATCACCCAAATTAAAAAACAAAACAAAATCACAACCATTTGAACTCAGACATGTGCGCTTTATTGGACTGATATCTGCATGGCGTCTTCTACACAAACCTCCGTCCACCTTTGTAGACAAGGCAGACACTTTTAAACAAACACACGGACCAAGTATCGTTAAGGCTGAAAGTACAAAAACAATTCAGATTACATAATTTACATATTAATAGGAAATACTACAGAGCTTTTGGGACCCAGAGGACAAGACCTTCATAGAGGCAAATAAGATGGTGAACGAAACATCTGGAATGACCGTGAACGACAATCATGGTTGCTCCCCGCACGGATTTGGGAGCATCTCACCCGCCTGCCCCCCCGGGACACAGGGGCCGGTGGTGGGGGGCCGGTAGTTCCGGTTCATAGTGTGTGAAGGTGGTCCTTAAAGGGGGAGAGGAGAGTGGGTGGGTGTTTGAGGGGGTGACAGTCAGTTTAGAAGCATTTCCTGTGCACAATGCTGGGGCCGGATTCGTCGTATTCCTGCTTGGAGATCCACATCTGCTGGAAGGTGGACAGGGAGGCCAGGATGGAACCGCCGATCCACACGGAGTACTTTCTTTCTGGGGGAGCGATGATCTGGAAAGAGGAGATGAAATTTTAGTTTAATTTGAACAATTTTAGTTAAAAAGCCTCCATATTTACACCAAATTCTTGTCTCAAATGGAAACCCGTTCCACCTTGTGATGTCATTTGGCAAGACAGGAACTGCTCCTGTTTTTAAACCATACACCTTCACTAGAATCATCTGGATAAACTCCAGGGCTGAAGTTGCCAATGCACTGAAATTGTTAAAGGTCTGTGAACTTGAAAAATCAGAAGGTGGAACAGCATTGAGCTTTGGAGGTGTAGACACGAATAAGAATGGAAAAACTACTCCAGGTATGTTTTGGTGGTGGTCAAAACATTCTAACATGGCTAAAAGATCACAGAAATCATATTTTTTGGCTAGAAACTGCCAGATACATCATAGAATTTACTTAAACGTTTCCCTAAATACCCAAGCATCATTTACATTAAAGAATCATCCTCTATCGACATAAAGTCAACTTCAAAATGCAGCGTTGCAGTCATGGTCCTGAGGCTCACCTTGATCTTCATGGTGGTGGGGGCCAGGGCAGTGATCTCCTTCTGCATGCGGTCAGCGATGCCCGGGTACATGGTGGTACCTCCGGACAGGACTGTGTTGGCGTACAGGTCTTTACGGATGTCCACGTCGCACTTCATGATGCTGTTGAAGGTGGTCTCGTGGATGCCGCAGGACTCCATACCTATAAGCACGAGGAGTTTGTTAGGCTCTGGTTTAAGTTCGTGTATTTCTTCATTTCCGAGTCATTGTAGGCATTTTAACTCTAAATGTATAAAGTTATGGCCAGTTTTACACTTTTTGGCATTTTAGATTAAGCCTCAGGATCAAAAATTATTCAACTGTGATGAATTCAACTTCATAATTGAGTATCATAACACATCCAAAGAACCTCTATGCAAAAAGCCTACACTCTTGGGGAAAAAGTCACTTGCAAAAACTAATTTAAAAACAGTGATGGAAGAAACCTTTGTATTCTTTAATGAAATACATTTAATTTTGCAAATCATTTTGTTACATTGTCCAATAAGGGCATTATATCCTGAATACTTGGAAGTTTTTTTTTGTTCCCCCCACATGCAATTGCATTATATTCGTGCAAGACAGGACATATTTTTTTGTTGTGTAATTGAGGCCACAGTCTTTCCTCATTAATAGCTTTCAGTACAAACAAAATTACGTGTATTGTGCTCTTAATTTAAGCAACTATTCTGAAGAACACCAAATGAAACTACTGGAATACAGGTATTCTAAATTAATGTTCAAAACACATTCCCAGTTGCTTCCAACACTTCTAATTGACCACGTGATTAAAAGCTGGATTTGTTCATCTTTAAACTTGTGATATTCCTGCCAAAATGGTTAGTTGTGAAATGTTGGACCAATGTGAATCACTAATGAAATAAGTCTCAGAACTATTTGAGAGAATCCAACAAGTCCTTACCGAGGAAGGAGGGCTGGAACAGGGCCTCCGGGCACCTGAACCTCTCGTTGCCGATGGTGATGACCTGACCGTCGGGCAGCTCGTAGCTCTTCTCCAGGGAGGAAGAGGAAGCAGCTGTGGTCATCTCCTGCTCGAAGTCCAGAGCCACGTAACAGAGTTTCTCCTTAATGTCACGCACGATCTCACGCTCGGCTGGAAGAGACATGTTCACAGGTTAGGCTCCAAACATCTAAAGTAAACCCATGAGGTGGGGAGTACTTATTTACTTGAGTAAGAAAACCAAACTTATTTAAAATCTGCAAGAGCTTCGTTTACAATGAAATTTGAACATTCATGTTTCTTGCAGCAACTCTTCAGATATGATTTAGTTTCTCATTTGTGTTGATCTTTTGAAAACTCAGATTGGGGGCCTCATTTAGTCTTAAATTATAAATAAGATGTTATTTCCTGACAGCATTTGGAAAGACTACAGCCCAAGAATAATCTTACTAGAGTCATTTCTTGGATCACTTATTTGCATTTCTAATCTAGTACTTTGAAGTACAGTTGAATAAAATTGGTGCACACAGGTAAATTGTTTGAGACTAGGAGTGTGAATGGAGGGGCGGGGTCTGGAGCTATAAATGAACATTGTTAGCAGGTATCCACACCTTATGCTCCACCCCTAGCAGAAACTGATTCAGAACACTACGTAGTTCTAGTTGAGCAGGGTTTAGTTCCACTTTAAAGCTCACTCATTCCAATAAGTCCCACCACCACTCCCCCAGCCCTGTGCCCCGCGTACCTGTGGTGGTGAAGCTGTAACCCCTCTCAGTCAGGATCTTCATGAGGTAGTCTGTGAGGTCCCTGCCAGCCAGGTCCAGACGGAGGATGGCGTGGGGCAGAGCGTAGCCCTCATAGATGGGCACAGTGTGGGTGACACCGTCGCCGGAGTCCATGACGATACCCGTGGTACGACCGGAGGCGTACAGGGACAGCACGGCCTGGATGGCGACGTACATGGCCGGGGTGTTGAAGGTCTCAAACATGATCTGCCAAGGAAGACGAAAAAGGATGAGTCAATGTGGAAAACAAAAGCTTTACCAAGGAACTTTTCTGGTGAAGGATCCGACGCCTGCATGTTGGAATGTTCCACAGTATGGCATCAAGTTAAAAAAGGACCAGATTTGGAATAGTCCATTTACAGTAGGTCTAAAGTGGGTTGGTCAAAGTATGGAAACTCATTAGTCCTTTTGAATGTAGCTTGGCGTCTATACTTTAATAACTTTAGCCAAATCAGAACAAGTATAAGACCATGAACCGCTTTGGAACCTCCCTGGATGACTGAGGGGCTACAGATAATGCCATACTGTGGAACTTTCCATTAAGGTGGCAACATTTCTATTGAGACTAACAGGTGGCGGATTCATCAGAAAAGTTCTAGGATTAGATTGGTACAGCAGTTACACACCGAACATTAGACAAGCCAAAAGGTTTGAATTGGAACTCAAAAGGTCATCCATCCACACAATTTTAAAACTGCATCGATACTGTTAGTAGTTCATGACAGCGCCGCCTAAAGGACTCCAACCGCCACTGCAGCTTAGAGTGTCTCAGCTCAGCCCCGGTAACTGCCGATACTGAGCAAGTATTCTCAAAACTTTATGTAACTTGGTAATTTTGTCAGCTGTGAAAAGGGAAACTGACCAATGCAAGGCAGACAAGTTTAATGCTATACTGTGGAACATTCTAAGCTAAAACATGTCACCCTCCAGCCAGGAAATATACCGTACTTATTAAAACTGCTCAAGTCATTTTAAAGTTAATGGATTTGCATGAATGAGTACAGCAGCTATTGCAGCTCTGGAGGTCAAAACTAGTCCGTGCGCATTCAAGTGGAAAGTGTTTTATCATCTCGCCATCAGGAAGTGCATTGTTAGCATGCTACCTGAGTTTACTGCATCAGAAAAGTTTGCGAAAAGCACTTCTGAACTCTTAGCTGTGAGTAACTGGGATGCTCGGAATAACTGGACCACTGCAAAAGTTGAATGAGTCAAATCCTGTTTCACGTTTTTAAAAACTGCAAAAATCAGGTACACCACATTTAGCGTACCAAACTACACTACCTTCGCTACAAAAACATGCAGTCCTCACACAAGTATTGTAAGAAGACTCCTTGTTAAAATCTGACACTGCTCCTCATGCAGTTAGGGTAATTAAGTCACGGTTGCCAAGTTCACACTGACTGCTCCATGCCAAACACACATGCACACAAAATCCAGGAACCTGAGTGCCCCCAGGAGGTGAAAGATGATCTCAGAAAGGAAACCTGGAGGTCAAGGGGCAGGAGAGACAGGCTGAGAGGGGCAGAAGAAAAGACGGGCACAGAGTTTACACGCACGCTGGGAAAACTAAATATCTGGTTCAATCAGATGAGTTGGGTTTTCGAATGGCTGTAAAACACTAGGAGGCATTCAACTGCGCTGGTGAGAACATCAGCTTATACAGACAGAATGGAGGCAGTGTGAAGTGGAGCAGACTACATTTCAGATTATTTTACATAATTTGCAACAAACTGGAATTTCAAGATGACCAAAATTGTATTTTAGCATACTAGAATGTGTGGTAGTTTGTCTACATGTATGCAATGAAACACCATTGTAAAATGTCAACATTTAAGCATTTTGTTGAGTAAACTTAGATTCTTTAAATCTTCTAAACTGGCTCTGATGTCTTAGTTGAAAGAGTGACGTTCCACTTCACTTTTGAAATTTAGAATGCACACGAGTCTAGATTTAGGAATGTACAGAATGCAGAAATTCTAGTCTCTGCAGTAAAGGAATGTGTGGGCAAGCCTAGTTACCTGGGTCATCTTCTCTCTGTTGGCCTTGGGGTTGAGGGGAGCCTCTGTGAGCAGGACAGGGTGTTCTTCAGGGGCCACCCTGAGCTCGTTGTAGAAGGTGTGGTGCCAGATCTTCTCCATGTCGTCCCAGTTGGTGACAATGCCGTGCTCGATGGGGTACTTGAGGGTCAGGATACCCCTCTTGCTCTGGGCCTCGTCTCCCACGTAGCTGTCCTTCTGTCCCATACCCACCATCACACCCTGCGCAGAGGGGGAGATTTTAGGGACGGTTCAACAGGGGAACAAGTGTCAAAATACCACATTGGCTATGAGGAAATACGGAGGGCTGACGTGGCAAATATTTAACCATAGCAGTCTGAGGAGACTTATCAATAGCAAGTAGCAATAGTTTGAACATATGACAAGTTCATATAATTACAGGAAAGTTATTTTATACCTCTCAGGGTAAACAGTTCAGTAGATGTAAGCACAATGCACTGTACCTGATGCCTGGGCCGCCCCACAATGGAGGGGAACACAGCGCGTGGAGCGTCGTCTCCGGCAAAGCCAGCTTTGCACATTCCAGACCCATTGTCAACGACGAGGGCGGCGATATCGTCTCCATCAGACATTTTCTAGGAAACAAAAGAAAAGTTTAACTAAATCATCTTCAGCTGGGTCGAATCCCTGTTATACACAAGTTCGGACGCTGGATGTCGCAGTGGCGCAGTTTCCAGTTACATGCCAGGCCAAGGAGACAAAAGACTTTTCTGCCTGGCTCTGGCCATGGCCATATAAGGCAAAAGTGAGCAGGGCTGAGCCTCCGCGACAGCCCGCTCCGGGAACAACTCAGCCTCCAATGACAGCGCGCACAGCCACTCCCTTCACCCGAGCATCAGAGCTCCTCCAGCGGCCACGGCAGCACTGAGGCCGGCTCTCACGAAGCTTCTCCGCTCATAAATGAGTCATCTCCCAGCAGTGTCTCATTACTTCACACCCTGAGCTGTTATCCATGCGTAAGTCGCTCCCGGTGCGCTGCCAGAGCGCGGCTGTAACCTGGAAGGTCAGGCTTTTTAACGCAGACGGATTACACTAATGAAGCGACGACACGAGAGCCGCTGTCTGCTCTACGCCTCACAGAGCAGGTCACCAGCACAGCCCCATTTCTAAGGGACTGGGAGAGTAGGCTACTTTAGATTATACTTAGAATATGCAGCTCCAGATCAGTTAAAGTTACCGAGGAGTGTAAAGTCTATTAAAATAGAACCATTCAAATAAACACTACATTTAGTGACATCTGCAGAACTTTTCATTGATTAAAGGGAATGAATGACGCCCTACAAGTGATCCAGCCTCAGAAGTAACGCCACAACTTAGCAAACCGGTAACACCATCTCATCCTCCAAATATCCAAAAGCTAACGCCATTTCACGCGCGCACATCCCCGTCCCGAGCCGTGTCCGTGTGGAGCCTTACCTCTGTGGTGGGTTTGAGGTGTAGGAGAACTGAGGAGGCTACAGTCCAGCGGGACTTCTGTGTCTGAGAGGGACAGTGATGGCAGACAGACGGGCGCACGGCTTTAGTACCGGCTCGTCCTGCAACCCCTCTCCATATAAGGTAAACTTTGGCCAGGGCGCGCTCGGATTGGTCCAGACGGCTCCGGTGGGCGTGGCGGATGCAGATAATGGTGAGACAGGCGCGGGGAGTGATGGACACGTATGGTTCATATAGGAAAATGAATTAGCAGATGCTTTTTTGGAATTATAACACTAAGGCAACTTAGCTGTCTACTCCTTCATACACAAATGCTTTTGATTTGTCATAATTGTATGTTTTCGGCTTGATTTGGCTAAAACCAACTTGGGTGTGTAGTCTGTCACACCTTTTTCATTCCTGTCTCTGTCTCTGAAACTGAAATGTTAAATGAAAACCAAATGAAAGTGTAACATGTCAGCTATTTTTGGTCCTGTCACTCTGTCTCTGTCTTGTACACACCAAGAATTATAAAAGATCAAACACAAGGTCAGGGGGCTGTCACACTCATCTTTATCAGTCATTTTCAAAGTAAAATGAATGTTATTATTTACAATGATTGCATTTTTAGCTTTGGTGTACATAGTAATTGTGAACAAGCACAATTCATGCAAGTACTGAGTGCACAGTGTGACGAGGAGGTTCTAACGTTTTGCCTCTGATTTGGGTCAGAGCGACTAAAGAACCATTTTGACCAAACCATGTGAATTGAGTTATAGAGCTCGAACTGGTGTCAAATGAACTCAATGACACTAGAGAAATCTCCTTATCCACATGGGAACATTCATCATTATCACTGATTTGGTGAGGTTTTGTTTTGTTTTTAAAGGGCGTTTCAGGTAGTCAGGCTGGCGCCACCTAGTGCCTCCGCTCAATTTCATTTCTCTCCAGCGACTAAGTCAGAAATTGGAATACACCAGACGGTTTGCAAGAATTCCGGAAGTGCGAGTTCGGGCACCAGCCAATCAGCGAAGAGTCATACATTCTGTGTTGGCAACAATTTCAGAGATTGAGGATTTAAAGTCAGAACAAAGAGAATGTTTGATGAATCTGATCAAGGGGAAAGACGTTATTGTCCTTCTTCCTACGGGATTTGGCACATTACATACAGTCAATGACAAAAGTCTTGTCACTTATCCATTTTGTAGAAACAAAAGCTTATAACCTGACTTTAAATTAATCGATTGGTTTTAGAAATGTCTCATATGAAAGCTAAAACCCTCCCAAATTATGCTCAATATACTAAAAGAAATTTGCTTCACTGAAGAAAGATTGATCATTTAATGAACACAGAAAGGTCAGATTTTGGCAAGACAAAAGTTTTGTCGCCTACAGAAAATTGAACAAATAATTTACTTCAAATACAAAAATATGTTGCATAACGTCAGTGAATGAAGTAGTGGTGCTGTGAGATCCATATTTAATATCTTGTATGACTTCCATGAGCTTGAAGGACGCATCCATGCAGTTCAACAATGATTCATACAATTTGTTGATGAAGTCATCAGGAATAGCAAAGAAAGCGTCTTACATGCCTCCCAGAGTTCATCAAGATTCTTTGGTTTTGTCTTCCATGCTTCCTCTTTCATTCTAACCCAGACATGCTCAATGATGTTCATGTCTGGTGACTGGGCTGGCCAGTCCTGGACCACCTTGATCTTCTTCACCTTGACAAACTCTGATGTAGAGATAGAAGTATGTGATGGAGCACCATCCTGCTGCAAAATTTGACCCTTTTATGGTTGGGAATGTAAGAGGAGCTAATACTTCTTGATATTTTAGGTTATTGATATTTGCCTTCCACCTTGCAAATGTCTCACACACCCCCAGACTGGATGGAACCCCAGACCAGGATTTTTCCGCCACCAAACTTAAGTGTTTTCTGGGTGAATCTTGGATCCATGCGGCTCCAGTAGGTCTCCTGCAATATTTGCAGTGGCTGTGATGTAATTCAACCGAGGATTCATCTGAGAAATCCACCTTCTGCCACTTTTCCAGTGTCCATCCTTTTAGCAGGCTGTGGGCCTTGGCAAATGCCACACAGTTTTTTAATTGCCTTTTGTTTAGTGCTGGTTTCTGTGCACTGATTCGACCATGGAGGCCATTTCAGTGAAGCAAATTTCTTTTAGTATATTGAGCATAATTTTGGAGGGTTTTAGCTTTCATATGAGACATTTCTAAAACCAATTGATTAATTTAAAGTCAGGTTATAAGCTTTTGTTTCTACAAAATGGATAAGCGACAAGACTTTTCTCAGGGACTGTACGACACGACCAAATTGCAGCGATTGGTTAAATGATAAAAAAGTACCTGCCTACTGTAGAGCGAACGAATCCTAATGCTGCGAGGTCAAACGGTTTCCACGATGTGAAACCGGCTGATGAATCAGGCTAACAAAGATTAAATTAGTTCAAATTCAGGAGGTGAAGACCCAAAAAATACACCAAACTCCTTGAAAAAAAATGCAGTGTGACAACTTACCCTTAACTTACCCTTAACTCTCACTGTGTGCAGCAAGTTCCTGGAGATGTTCTCGCAGTCTGTGGAGGCAGCGTCCTGGACTTGTCTGTGTTCTGCTGGAGGAGCAGCTCCAGGAAAAGGGACATCGGGCAGATCGACAAACTGATCCTTAAATCTGCTCATGTGATCGACTGTGAGCTGGAGACATTTGTCACAGCGAGGGACACGAGGACACTGGACAAACTGCTCTCCATCATGGACACTCCTGCCCCCCACTGCACCAGACTGTAGAGGCACAGATAATACTCCCTACAACTGTACAACAACTCACCCTTATGTAACAGATAATACTCCCTACAACTGTACAACAACTCACCCTTATGTAACAGATAATACTCCCTACAACTGTACAACAACTCACCCTTATGTAACAGATAATACTCCCTACAACCGTACAACAACTCACCCACTGCACCAGACTGTAGAGGCACAGATAATACTCCCTACAACCGTACAACAACTCACCCACTGCACCAGACTGTAGAGGCACAGATAATACTCCCTACAACTGTACAACAACTCACCCTTATGTAACAGATAATACTCCCTACAACTGTACAACAACTCACCCACTGCACCAGACTATAGAGGCACAGATAATACTCCTACAACTACCCGTAACAGATAATACTCCCTACAACCGTACAACAACTCACCCACTGCACCAGACTATAGAGGGACAGATAATACTCCCTACAACTGTATAACAATTCACCCTTATTTAACAGATAATACTCCCTACAACTGTACAACAACTCACCCTTATGTAACAGGTAATACTCCCTACAACTGTACAACTCCCTCTTATGTAACAGATAATACTCCCTAACATATATCACACAGTTATAGTAATAGTAACAATCCTCTCATTTGGCAAAAAAAAAAAAAATGATTTGAAACTCTCACTGCTATAGGTCATTTCAAGGTGCTAGAACTTCTGGTGGATGCCCGTCACCTTGTCTCCACTGAGCTCTTATTGCTTCTGAAATGTCCCACAGTATGGCATTAAACCTATATTTCATTTATTTAATTACAAGTGTTTGTTTTGCTCAATATGGCATTACCTTCAAAAACGGGCATTTTTATTGTGAGGGGCACCACCTCCACAGATCGGATTTGGGCCCGGTCAAGCAGAAGTAAACAGCAAGGCCAAAAATTCAAGTTCATGCATCTGATATAAAAATGTATTGAACAGATACATATGTACTCTAGTTTATGAAACTGTTCACCTTTTTTCTGTACCATTTTTGGTTCTAAAGTTCCATACGTTTTAAACAGACCATGAATGAAACATGGAACAAACATTATTTCCCAAATTTCAAAGACCTGCAAATCATGTCAATAAATGGATGTATTTCATCATATCTTGTGTTATTCCACCTTTGAACTGTTGATGAAGGTACATGAATAAAAAAAAAGTATTAAAAAAAATGACATATTTTATAGAAATAGTTTCCTTTCATTTTGAAGTAATATTAAAGTATTCAGAAGAAAAAAGTTGACAAATGATGCAAAATCCTGCACCTTCTACTTGCTCACACAATTTTCCCTCCGTTATTTTTCCCTCCGTTACCATGACCTTTCTTAATAAAAAATCTCATGAGTCAAAAAGTAAGAGGTTTTTCAACCTAATCTTGTACCATATGGTAGAAAACTATATGAAGCAAATATTCAAACCAGTTTGTTAAGGATATGTAAGTGAGAACCACTAGTTATCACTGTTTGTATTTATTGCCCAAAAAGTGCTGCATATTTCATTCCCTCCGTTACCGACATGAGTTTTTAATTTTTTGTCAACAACTTAAAAGAATATCACAGGTTTAACTTTACCCTGTTGGAGTGTAACTCTTTCCTACATTCTGATACTTTACTTATTTCAATAGTTCCTCTAGTTTCTGAATAAGAGACATTTGAATGTCAAAAATCTGCCCGTTTCCCTCCGTTACCACTTGACCAGACCCATATGTAACTTGGCCTCATGCTTATACTGTAAATGTGATGACTTACGGGCAAAGCAGTCACATCTCCATGGATAGGAGCAGGTAGCGGACTCTCAAACCCGAAAAGGTACACAGTTCACCTTTAGTTTTATAGTTCATAGACGAATCAGGTCATTAAAGCACCTCTAATATCACAATATCACACCCGATGACAATAATGACACTGTAGTTTTTGTAATTCTGACTGGGTTTGGTGGAGTACCTGTGGTGACTATTTATCATAGTTTTACACCAGTGAAGAAAAGTACAAAAATACAAGTAGTGCTGAGTTTTAAAACAGAATCCCTCTACTGACCTGTGTGCTGTTGTCGTCTGTTTTTTATTTGTCTAATCGTAACTATTGTGGAACGTTAAAGCGGACCTATTCTGCAAAATGGACTTCTCAGAGCTTTCAAACATGTTCTAGCTGTTTCCTTCTCTAACTTCTTAGGTTCTTTTTAAAGACAATGCAGTAAAGTGTGTTTACCTTGTTGACATGTTTCGGCTGCTAGCTGCAAGCCATCTTCAGAACTGTCTCGGTGTTGGTGGTGACGTGT